ACTCGTTCCCGGCTTGCTCCTCTCATCTCTACCTTGCTCCACCGGTGCCCTAAGCCGATAAAGTAAAATGATCAGAACGAATCATCAGCCAAGCCACGTCATCGGACTTTGATTCATCAAAGCCGACCATGTTGAACTGAGACATTTCAGAGAATCTGAGAAACATCTCAGTTGCTCTAGTCGTTCTAGATTCGATCACTCTAGTCACGTGCCCAGCGAGTGCCCGCTTGCCTTGATGTGGTGCTCCTGCTGTGCAGCAAACAACTTGGAGGGCATTCGTTTTAATCGTGTGAAGTCCTCGGTTCCCTCGCCATCCAGCAGCGACAGCTCGTCTTCCTCCAATGCAAACCCAAAGCATGGCACACAGTGAGTTGTGAGTAGCCTAGGCCTGGGCTAGATTCTGGTGTGGTGGTTGCAGGTTTCAATGACGTGCCGGCATACATTTCTTAAGCCACTCGCTTCGTGGTCCGGCAAGGCGAAGTCCTGCCAGTGAACATTGCAACATTGGCGCCTGATGGCGCCTGTCACTATAAGTCTGAACTTCACTCACAAACCCCGGCCATTGCTTCGAGATCGTGCAGATTCTCAAGAGCTCGTTCCTTCTCCTGTGATCCAGCATACTCCAGCATAATCCAGCGAATCATTGCGTTTACATGAGAGCCGGCGCCTTCTGCTCATGATCCCACAGGGGGGAGCCTAGTCAGGCTGACGAGCTACCCAGGATCGTGCTCGGTGCCTCTTTTAACCGGCATGGACATTTCAGGGTATCGCCGAGCCTGGTGGAGAAGGCCTGATGACTGGAGACTTGGGCGGCTCATACTTCTTCCTGCAAGATCGTGTTCACTGAGCCTTCATTTCATGCCCGGCGTTCGCGCACGCATGCTGCATGCCGCATGGTAGTTTGTCCAAGCTCTCAGCCTCACGGTGGTGGCGGGCCAGGAAGATGCGAGTTCGTGACTGGTGCAGATTGCAAACAAGCATGTGCAAGCTTTGCAACCAATGTACAATCGTCATGAACCAAAGATCCGGACACGGACCCGCCTCTCGCTGGCAAGAGTGGATCCCGGCTCGAACTCGGCAGAGCATGGCACAGGAATGCTGCAAGGCATAGAAATAGCGAGGCCTTCTGCACTTGCGTTTCAGCACTCAGTGCTTGGCCATGCCCGCACGTGCAACCAAAATCTCTGACTTTATGCATGCATCCTGTCCAAAAAAGTCGAACCCCCACGGAAGCTTGCAGAGTCACAGCAGCTACACAGCTACACACCCACAGCAGCCGAGCTTCTTTCTGCGCTTCTTTGGTCCGACCCTCGGTATCCGGAACGAATGGTGAAACGAATGCTGGAACGAGTGGTGAAACGAGTGGTGGCATGAATGGTGAAGGGTCAAGATTGGTCCTGGTGAATCAATGTAAAGCACGGCGCGGCCACTGTCCTATGACCGTTTTAGATCCATGCTGCTTCGGCCGGGGCCTCATGGCACCCCATCATGTCTGTGAACTCCGCCGGCCGCTAGCAGCCGCTAGCAGCCGCTAGCAGCCGCTAGCAGCTGGCAGTCCGCAAGTTCCTCTTGTTCCTGAAAGGCTCGACCCCGGCCTTGTAGAGTGCAAGAGCGGGAGGCGCGCATGCTCCAGGTGCAGAAGAAAGCGTCGTAGACACGAGCTTCCGGTACATGATGGCCTAACACCCCAACAGGTGCACAGGGTTGGAACAGATTGTGAACGCCCGGCTTGCATGGTGATGCAATAATGCCGTAAACTTGTGCCGCCTTCGGTGCTTGTTGACACCGCCGCGTCTTGTCAAACGAGCCAACATCCCAAGCCAATCCATCTACAGCTCCCGGTCCTCGGGCTTTGTCTGGAATGCTCCTTGGTGCTGAAGATGTCTTCCAGGATTCTTCCAGGAATTTCGGCCATTGAGATCATTGAGCAGTCAAGACGCGCTGACTGAAAGCTTGTCGGCGCGCGCGTTGAAGCTCCACCTCCTGCATTCCTCAGCAGATTCCATTTGTGAGCACGGTCAAAATGCTCTCGTAGTACTTCTCAGATGCAACTTTAACTTATAAGCTTTGTATCCAAAACTTCCAAGGCATCCCCTGCCATGGTCCCTCTCTCCGAGTTTGACAGATTAGGTTATTCCCCACAGTAAATGCCCGAGCAAGCAGTATGATTAGATCAGGCAAACGCCTAAACTGCCGATTCATGAGAACTTATGATACAGCCCGACAGCTCTCCTCCGCGCACCATGTCACTATGTTCACCATATTGGCTTGCCACTCCTTTGGTCCCTGCAGAGTCATCATGCTCCATTGAACTTTTCAGAGCAGAATGTGCTACTGAACCTCAGTGATACAGGATCTTTCCATCTGGCGCGACAGATATTCGAGAGACTCGAAGGGAGGATGCGTGGAGCCCTGCTGTATGTGCTGAAGTGCCGGACAGCGAAAGAATGGCGAAAGAATCGCCGCAGAATCATCGTTTCGAGGGGTCAACTTTCTATTGGGATGGGTGTGTGATGATGCACCTTGCATGTCATGCCATTTGCATGTGATCGTATTGTGATCGTGCATTGCACGCTTTTTGCTCAGCTGAGGGGCGGAAGTCAGCATCCACTGTAGGCTTGACGCCTGGCACGGTCATTGCACAGTATTTGAGGACAATTGCACACTAATAGTCAGAATTGTCAGATTTCTGCACATCGCAGTACATCCCAGCACTCTTAAGCTCTGCCTGACCGACCGCTGAAATTCCAGGTGCGACTGGCCTGTCGTTACCCAGATACCCCAGTCTCTCATATCCACTGGCAGCAAGCTGCTCACAGAATTGCGTAGGTACACTACGCTTCCTTCTGTCGGGCTTTGAGGCGTCTTTGTCTGGCTGCCGCTTCGTCCTGCAAATCAAGGGCGGCATCAAGTGCGACGTGGTGTGGGAGAACCCTTGCCCTCGCGCCTCCTCGCCATCAATGACTTTCAAGCCTGGACCCAGTAGACCAACGAGCTCACAATTTTTTGAGACTTTTTTCCGGAGATTGTGCTCCCGTCTCCAAGTTCCTCCCAGCTCACCGACTGGAAGACTCCACTAATCTCCACTACTAGTCACTACTTGGCGGCTTGGCGCTGCCGGTACGGCGCGCAGAAATTTGCGAGCAGATGACAAAGACTGCCAAAATTGTCCAGACAAAATGTGATAACAAAAGTCTTGCGTTCATGTTCCAGCGCGAGTTAGCACTGCCATGTGGTAAGGTACCAGGTTGTGCCGCATTGTACCGTGTGCACGTACTCTTCGCACCAACTTCAATGGACTCAGTTTGCTGAGTTCGCAGCTTGCAGCAGCGCTGATGGGTGCAGCGTCCGGGCCTGCTGGAATCGTTCGTTCCATGAAAACATCGAGTTTCTGTGAAAAAGTACGAGAAAGTTACCAGTATGCCCCCGCACCGACACTTGGAATTGAAGCAGATTCCGCCTGTTAAGAAATGATGTGGATCCGGGAACGCTCGAGTCACTTGAGCGTTTAAGATTCACTCAGTCAAGCCCAGAGCTTTCGCAGCTGAACCCGCGGGCTGCTCTACATCTCTGCTGGTGCCTGCAGTACAGTGCAACGACGCGCAGTGCTGTGTGCGGTTGCTTCTCCTCACCCTTGCTGTATGGTTCTCAACTCGTCTCCTCGAATCTCCTGCGCTCCTCGCCCAGGAATCCCGCCGAGCATCCATGGAGCATCCCGAAAAAAATTACTGGGAGTGCCCACCATGATCGAGCTGTTAAACCTTAGTGAGGCTTGCAAAACATTGCACCGGCTTCAGAAGGGTACAGGGACGACAAGTCTCGCAAATAGCAAGATTTGTTGCAGACTGTGTCAGCCAGATCGTAATCCCAAAATTGCGCTTCCACGACACAGTCCCCGTGCACATTTGGTCTCTCTGTGTGTCTCGGAATCTCATGCGGCAGGGGCGCACTTTCCTGCTTCAACAAAGAGCTTCGCTTCATCCCTTTGCGCTTGAGTTCCAACGTCGATATTGCTCAGAGCTGGATATTGCTGGCACGTTTGGGCCTTAAAGTGTGCTCCGTGCAGAGACCCTTGCGCTCCTCACAAGTCGCTCTACTTTGCGGTGTGTCTTGGTCTTGAACTGGTATCGCTCCAGCGTCTCGTGTTGAGGCCTGCATGATCTGCATGTGAAGTCGGCGTCGCTGTGGCCATGGTCCCCATGCCTGCGCAGGAATGGGCAAACATGGGCAAGGTGTTCCAGAGACATGGCTGTGCATCAGATTTCTGACTTGAAGACACTTTGCCGGACCTGCGTCTACATTGCTGGAAGCTGGACGCCTTGCACCTGTGAAGTTGGTAAAAGATAAAGTCAGAGTGAGGCCCTCTCTCAAGTGGAGCTCTCGTTTGGAGACACATTCCAGCTCTCCATGAGTTCAACACATCTCACGGTCTCAACACTTGTCAAAGATGCAAAATGTCTCAATGCGCCTGTATGGAATGCCATAACCTGAGCACCCCATGAAGCATTCCATGAAGCAACGCGCGCACAACCGCAAAACTGGATCGCTTTGGCACCGGCTGTGGGCGTCAGAGGTTCCTATGGAGACCCTCTGTTTCAACACTTCTCTCGACTCTTCCGCCCGAATGCGAAATTTCGCGTACCTAGTATTCTCCCGCCACTGTCCGTAGCAACCTTTCGGGACCCTCAATCCAGCCGTGCGGCTTAATCAGGAATCCCTGAAGGTCTGTCAATGCAGCCATGGTAGCATGTAGCAACTCCACCCTCGCGTTGTCGATGCGTTCCCGAGCACAACTTCCAAGACTTGCCAGACCGTAGTTTGCCACTACCTACAAGTCGGATCGAGGAGCGGGAGATACCGGCAAGGAGTGACCAGTAATTAGATAGTCTAAAGCATAGGAATACCTGATGGCAGCCGCCGGCCTGAATTCAGGCTGAAATACGAAACCTTGCGAAAGCACGTGGCCTCGTGGCCAACGATCATGGCAGCGCATCGAAACTTTAGCCTAAGTTGTGCGCAATGGGACTTCTGTTCCAAAATTGCTTAGACCTTCTCACACTCAACACCCGTATGTTCAGATCATCTCTTGCAATTGCGCGAAGTAGAAGCATCCACTTGCGAAGGTCGTTGCGCAGTTCTCCTTGGGTTTCTGCGCAACACATCTAACGATCTTATGCCAGCAAATTTCTTCCCATACAGTAGCTTGTGCTCGCAATGAAGCTGCTTTGTGAAGGTCGCTGTCATTTGAATGCTGCGTCGAGTGTTCTAAGCCGTTTCACTTCTTGCCTGCACATAACCCTTGGCACATCTTGGCACTACCTCGGCATCTGCAGCTTGGCCTCGTATGTGCATCTCAGTCAACTGCGGCAGCAAATAGCGCTCTTGCAGCATAGCATCTGCAATGAGAGAACTGGATTCTTGCATCTTTGGATGCCGTGCGATGCTGTGCCGCTGTGCACACCATTAGCACACCACAAGCACCTTCGGCTTCAGAGACTTCAGTAGCGCGGAGGCCATCGCGGAGAAGAAGACGTCCAACGGTGCCGGGGCCGGAGACGAAAGAGTGGATCAGACACCACTCCAAAGTTGGTCGCCTCAACGTCGTGATACGCAGATATACGCAGTGTCAAGCACTTTCAGTGTTGTCAGTGATCATCGTTAGCTAGTCTGGCCTTGAAGGCTGTCGACGGAGAAGCGCCTTGACCAAAGATTGAGCGCTGCTGCTTGGGACTGGGATGTCGTCATCGACCCAGAAAGAGATCTCACACTTTTGAATGGCCTGGCACAAATGGGAACAATCTGTTCTGAAGCTGGGGTCGCGTCTTCCGATGGAGGAACAGTAAAGACATGGGTAATTGGCTACCACGTGCTTGGGGTTCCTGAAGTTCAGAGTCAGAAGTTCTGCCGTTCACATGTCAGGCTGCGGATAGGCTGCGCGTCATGTAGACAATCGATGTGATAAGGTCATGCCTGCCCTTTTGCAACCGAATGCAGCAGCATCACGGCAGTTGCGCATAATTGGACAAGTTTTTTTCTGAGCCGGTGCTTCAAATCGATCAAATCGTCGCCCAGGCGAAGTTTTTCAGAACCAACTGAAAAGACTAGCGAGTGCCTGAGCAGGGGCCAGGAATTATGGGCACGGAGTGGAGCCATGAGAAGACGACCTGGTCTAAACTCCAATTCGGTCTCGAATGATTACGAGAAAGCCTTCGGACCTTCCGGCTGCGTGGACTGAACACTGAACCGAACGAAGAGCATTACAGTTGACCATGGCTGTATTGCTGGATTGCCACATAGTATACTGGGTAGCCAGGCCCGGCAGGTAGCAGCAACACGAGCTGTGCAGTTCAAGAATCCTGCCGAAAAGCGATACTGGTAACATGGTGAAATTCTAAATATGCAGAAAGGCACGCGGGGGCCCAGTTTTTCCATGGTTTTTGGTAGTTTGTTGGGATGTGCTCTTTTCCGTTCTCTTTACCTTGGGATGTACTATTGCAGCTTTGTTTTGGGGTATATGATGGTATATGTCACGTGTAGTGTGAGGCTATAGATTCGGGAGGTTGCCTAAAGGGAAACTGCCGTGAACAGACTGAGCCGCTTTCTCAATCGTCAGAAAGTCATTGTTGTGCCTCTGTCAGCTCCGCGCCCGTGCCCGCAAAAGGACAATGCATGGTGAGAAGCTCGTAGAGTATCCTGAGAGCATCGATCAGCTGCTTTCAAGCGAATGGCGAAAGCTGGGAAGCATCCTGTGCTCCGAGAGGCAAAGGCAAAGTGTTAAGCAAACCTGTGGCCAAACCCTGACACGAAAACGAAGCTTGTGTGAGGCTTGTGAAGGGGACCCTTCCCTCTCGAAATAGGGTCACTGAGGCATAAACATAGCAAGCAGGTAAGGTCTAACGCTGAGTAGCAAAGCGGCACGCCGAGGGACCAGAGATCGGCCGCTCGGGCATCAAAGGCCTCCAAACAACATGCGCCGGACAATCCAAGCATGCTCTCAAAGTATATTCAAAGTATGCTTTCAAACCTTACAACAAGCAAGCAAGTCAACAAGGTCGGTTGTTGTCACCCCACTTGAAGTCACTTAAGAGGCCTGCCGTGCAAAGAGCTCCGGGGCCATGTAAAGCGGAGTGCCAACAATGTCAGCTGTGAGGACGTCATTCACAACTTTTGAATGGCCGAAATCAGCAAGCTTGACCTCCCAGGGCTCTCTCTTGGTCTCACAAATGTGTGATGAAATGCGGCCTGGAGGTGCTGTGCGTCAGAGAGGAGGATGTTGGCAGGCTTTAGATCGCCGTGTGCAAATCCCCTGCGGCAGTGACATGGCATCGGGAACTGCTCACCTTGAAGTGCCCCAACAGGAAAGGTCTGTGCCATTGGCTATGGAAAATGGGGACGATCAAGGGGACTAGATGAAACTAATCAGTCGTGCAAGGAACTCCGAAATCTTAGAGCGGTTGGCGCAGTGAATTTGTTGCGTGGAGTGGTGAAGGGTGTGAGCTCTGTGCCTCTGTGTGTTCAGAGGACGCGACAACTTTTCAGAGTCTTTTGCAGGGCTCCTCAGAAATGCTCTTTGCGCCTTGCGAGGTCCCCTCTCCAGGTGCCCTCCGCAAAAGATTCTGAGAACAAAACAAGTTCGGCAAAAACGCCCGTAAGCGCCGCAAGTGATCATACGAGCAGTCGGCACTTTCGCAGTGCTTAGACTCATGGCAGTCTGGTGACCAACTCCGGTGTCTTAGGCTGGCCCAAGATTCAGTTAGATTCAGTTGATCAATTGCGTGTGATGGGATTGAATGCGACAGTTCTGGGCTATGGCCCTTCGGGCTGGGATTTGATGCAAAGATATGGCCTGCATGATCTGCTTATCCTGTCAATGAAAGTGGATGCCAGAGTCATCATGGCAGCTTCCTTGCCTGGAATGCATGTGCTGCAAACCTTCTGCAATCTGACGAAACACATCCGAAGCCTTCCAGGGATTTGCTGAGGAATTGTGCAATGAAAAATGGCCATGCCCTTCAAGCTAGCTCCACAAGTTCCTGCGTGTGCCGCCTGCTCTTCCCTTAGAGGTCCTCTGACAATGATGTGGTCCAAACTGCCCCCACCGAGATGCTCCAGCACAAGGCAAAGCTCCTTTGGGACCGCAGGAGAGCGCTCTCTTTGGGGTCCTTTTTGTGAGGGCTCAGATGGGGCTTAGAACGCGAAAGTGGCAAAAGTGCGAAAACGGCGTTTGCCCAGCGCGAAGGCGGGGTCCCGGCTCCTCTTCCGTCTCGACCACATCCACAAGTCCTGTGCGGCAAAATGGGAAAAGCCGAAAGCCATGGCATCTCAGACTATGCGAAATATGCAACGACAAAGACCCTGCCTACGATTCGGGGGTGCTGCAGCGACAAGTGGATGGCCTCAGCTGTTGCAGCTTTCTCTCACCATCCGAGTTGCTGCTAACTGCTAACTTTGCGCTGGCGTGTCAGAACCGGAGGGCAATCTCTTGGTGGAGCCGTTCTTCAATTTGCCTGAAGTTCCCTTGCCTTCGCAATCTGGACAAGCCAATCCTTGGGTAATCCATGTGCAGCAATCAATGAGCATGCTTGAATTCGCCTGCACTCGCATGACTTATGACTCGTTCAATTCAATGCTCCTGTGACCCGCAAGCTAGAACTCACCAGGTGCCATACGGTGAAGCTGGACATCCCTCCACTTGTGCATGAGTCATATGTAATATGCAACCTCTTGCCGCCACACGTCCGTTTGACGGCAAAGACATTGCCACTGCTGTCCACACAGCGCGAGACTCTGGATGTGGCACCAGCACCGATGGATTCCAAAAGACGATAGCGTGTCGTGTCCTGTGCCAAGGACTTTGCCTTCGATAACTTCGTCCTGAAATTCTCTTAGAGACCCTGAAAGCAAATGGGGACAAGGGTCCACCTCTGCAGCCCGCAGCACCCAGACATTGAATTTTGACACCTCCGACTGTCTTCTCTTCGTTTGACCGTAATTTGATGCAATTTTAGCAGCGTCCTCCTCAGGCCCGAAGGTGACCGGTTGCTCTTGGAAGCGAGTGACTGGGGGCGCCTCTGCGGTCCAGTTGTTCGATGAATGACTTCTTCGACATTCTTCGAGAATGCACAGGTTTCCGCGCGGGTATCGGAGCTGTGAGCATGGATCCGGAATCAAATTGAATTCTGGTCCTTGTGTGCAGCAACTACCGCTGGTCCACTTTTGTTGGGTGTTTTTCTATGTCTCTCTCAAGTTGCTTTTCAAGGATTGGCCTGGGCAGCTTTGGCTAGGCGGTGTCGCTCCAAGGGCCGCAGACAAAGAGCATCTGCCAGCAACTGCCATTGTGGGACGACCTGGGCTTTCAACAGCTTTTGCACATCCTTTCTCTCTTCAAAAGTGCCCCTTTCGTTTTATGCCTCGCTTCAGAACCTTGAGCGAAATACCATACTTTGCCAAGAGCAACATCAGGAACTAGATGCCATGGCATTGCCAGACAAAGACGCTCAAATGGACTCGACTGCCGAACATTCGTCAAGAAGTGCAGGCTATATGTGTTACGATCATCTCTCTCCAACCGCATGGCCTAGCAAAGAGCAAAACAGGCCGCTCGGCAGACGGACATGTTCCATGTGTCAGCCATGTTCAGCCCACCTGCTCCAGATTGGTGTAGCCCTGCCTTCAAAGCTTGGCATAATGATTGTCGGAATTTGGAAACTGCGTTTCGTGCCTCTGGCACCAGTCACGGGCTCCAGATTCACAGTGCCCCAGTTTAAGCGACAGAAGCCATTCTGACAGCCCAGGGACGGTCTCCTCAGCGAAGAGGCGTGCAGGGCAAGCGCGCTGATGCAAGAGAGTGAACACGACAAGTGGGGTCTAGCGAGCACATGTACGCACGTATGTATCAAAATATGCAGTCCAACTCCATGCTAGTGTGTGTGAACCCCTCCTTTGCGTGGGTACATGTCTCTTTGCCGGTTTCACATACAATATAGCTCCGAATTTCGCACCTTCCATACAACAACGTGAATATTGTGGTCGGTGGTTGTTGTTGTTGGTTTCTGCTGCTGGTTGGTGGTTATTTGCTCCTTTTCGTTGAGTTTGGTTATGCTGCGTTGTGTTGCGCTGTGTTGCGCTGTGTTGTGTTGTGTTAGTGTTGCGCTGCGTTGTGTCGTGTTGTGTCGTGTTGTGTTGGCCAACACCAGAGCTTCCCCCCAAAAATCCCTGGAGCGCCCCCAGAGTGTCCCGAGAGAATCCCTGGAGCGCACAACCGCAAAGCAGCACCACAAATTCTAAATCTGTAGGGTGAGGATGTTCGAAGTGAACATTTTGGTGTTGTGGTTGTGTTTGTCGTTGTGGCTGTGTTTGTGGTTGTGCTTCTTCTTGCTTGATTGCTGTTGTTGGTGGTAGCAGTGGGGCTGGTTGCTCGTTGCGCTTGCCGGTTGGTTGCCGGTTGTTTGTTGCTTGTTGTGCGTTGTTCTGCTTCTTGCTCTTGTCCTCCTACGTCCGACAACGCTCTGAACTCAAATGCCCCCCGATGTGCGCAACATCAAAGGCTGGTGCTTGCTTCAAGAGAGATCATGTAGAGACAGGGGTTTGCCTAAGAGGAACACGCACCACGTAGGCAGATAAGGCAGGGAGGAAGGATGACAAAAGAGAAATAGTCAAACACCTGGTGCAACATGTGACGATGCCACACATGCACTCCTTGATCTTTGGAGGTGGCTTCTGGGAAATTTGGCCTCCTCTGTTAAAACACTCCCTCGCATCTCCCTCACATCTCCTTTCCCACGCCTCCACATCGGCAGCTGTCGGTGTCAGGACGCAGCGGAGCAGCGCTGCTCCCACCTCTGCCTTTGTCACCTGAGGGCACTTGGAGCCACCGGCTTCGCTCTTCAAAATTCGGGAACAAGGATTCACAACGTGCCAACATGAGCCATTTCTGACCTTCTTTTCGGCAGTAGTTCTGATAGATCACTCCGAGCCCCGCCTCGCCCGCAGACCCCCCAGACATGTGGACATCCCATCGTCTATTCTATTCTTTGAGCCTCACTCTGTGCCCAGCTGGTCGAACCAAAGCGGCTGCGCAATCGAGGCGGGTTTGGGAGTGACAGTCGATGAAGCAGCAGCGCTCTCTCGCTGTCTCGTTCGCTCTCTTTCGTTCTTTATTTCTTTCTTTCTTGAGGCTTGACGTCAGGAGTTTTCCCCCGCTCTCTCGTATCTCTCTTGCTTGCTTGCTTGCAGCGCGCTTGGCCCCTGGTCAGGCGGCCGCCGCCTCTCTCTCTTTCTCTCTCTCTTTCTGTCTCTCTTTCTCTCTCTCACTCCCTCTGTGAGTGCAAGTGAGTGTGTTGTGAATGAGTGAATGTGAGTGAATAAGAACGAACTGTCTGAGACTCTGTGTGTGTGTGGGGGGTGTATGTCTATGTTTACGTTTTTTCTATGTCCATGTCTGCAAGCAAACGGCCTCTGCTATTCCGCCACGGTATCCCTGTGCCATTTTCTCACCTCCAGAAAGGCATTCGCATCGCCTGGAGATGGACACTGTTCCTTCCCGAATCTCTGCACCTTGTCCGCAATCAGCACATGGGACAGGAAACGGGTGAGGCAATTCGATCCAGCGGAGCTTGCTCGTAGATGCTGCTACAACAGTGTTCATTCGTATTGTGTTTGCGCTGAACTGGGAATGTGTTGACTTCAGTTTCCGGATGCCTTTGTCGTCCGCTCTTGAGCCAACACCATCAGAGGATCACACACTTCATCACCTTTAAATGCCACTTGTATCTCTCACCAGCGAAAGCAAACCGTTCAGGATCTCACTTTATCTGAGCAGATGTGTTTCGAGGTCTGTGGGGTAGGATATTCCACACGAGGCGCTACGTTCGAGACTGCCGGAGGACAATGCCCCTGCATCCACAAACTGAACTGAACAAATCAACAAACTGAACAACCGGCGCTTGCGATCACGTTGCAGCAAATCGGCTCTGAAGGGCTCTTGTCCAGCTCGGACTGGACTGGAGAGTGATCAGAGTGCCATGATGCGCTGTGTATCGACTGCGATGAGGTCCTGGTGCCACACATCCGTCATTACTCGTCAGCAATGCCTCTGTCCCAATCCTTGAAGATTTGTGCCTGATGTGGTCTGAAATCAGAAACCAGTCGGCCATGGCCTGTCCAGTCCAGGAAACTTGTGAGGTGCTTCAAGTACTGTGTCTTCTCGGGTCGAGCGTCCGGCACCAGTCCATGACTGGCAGAGCAAGATCCAGTGAGCTGTGCATTGTATTCAGGCGTGTCACGGACTGTTCTTTGTTCTTCCGGTTTCCCGCGGGACAGTTAGGCGAAAGATGACAATTCGGGCTTCACAAACGAGTCGAAGACTGGTCGACGTAAAGGATGTAGGGCGTGTGAGGACGCTGACAAGCACTTTCCGAGCTCTCCGAGATGGTATGATTCGTCGGAAAGGTGCCATCGGTCCTTTAGTCTCCTGAAAGATCACGAATGATTGCTTCCTGCATTGTTATGACCTGTTGCAGTGTTGCGCTGATCTGCTTTTCTTCCTCTAGCTGCTGCCGGAGGACTTGTTCTTGCAGTCTTTTGCTTCCCCCAGCAGTTGCCAACCTTGCCGAGGCCTCTCGTTCGCAGTCGCGCAGATCTGCCTCATCCCCACGACGCAGCTCGTCCAAGGCCCGAAGCTCAACCCGGAGCGCCTCCAACTGTGCTTCCAGCTCAACTTCGAAGTCTGGAGCTCCAAATGCTTCAAGCAGCTCAGGGAGGCGATTGGCCTTCTCCTTGGCAATTGTGGCAGTGCTTTGTGCATGCTGCTCCTCTGCAATTCCGTCCTGGAGCTGCATCTGCTCAAAGGCCTTCAACTTCGATGCAGAGAGTCTGAGAAACTCATCGCGCGGCAGCAGCAACCGTTGCAAGCGTTGCTCGGACGGCTCTTCTACACATTCTTCACCTTCCAGCCACTGTCGCTCAGTGACAAGAAGTTCCCAGTTCCCTTCCAGACTCTTTGACTCCGGCGCTTCGTCGCTGCGGCCGCTGCGTGTGCACAAGCAGCTGTAGACATGCCAATCCGGGTCCGGACCATCTCCGCTCGATGGCATCGCGTGCCACTGTGGCAATTGTGGCAAAGCATGCAAAGCATGCACAGCGGCCAGCGGAAGTATCGGCAGGGACTCTCCCAAACAAGCTCTGACGCTGGGTATGATGAGGCGAAGCGGTCTCAAAGGAGGTGGAGCCAGAAGGGTAAGGTCAATCATTGTGTTGCGAAGAACGACATCCACATGAATGTCAGGAGGAGCAACCAGAGCGGTGGGAGCCAGAGTGTGAGCTTGAGTATCAGTTCCAGCCGGATGCTTGTGGCTTTCGCACGGGGGAACTGCCGCAACAGCTTCTTGTGCCTGATGGAAAGTGAGCAGGAGCGTCCCCAGACTCTCCAAAGCCACTGGCTGAGGAAGCAACTCAAGACCATGAATGCACACCTCGGCACGACCCCGGGCACGGCACTGGTGGTTCGTGCTGGGGCCATTTGGGGCACTGTCTGCGCGTAGCCGGGCAGTCAGGACCCACGATGCTGCTTGTAGTGGGCGGACTCGGACGAGAGGGGTGCGCTCTTTCTCCAGCAATACAAGCTCGAGAGAGCACAGGGTCAACCCACAACTTCCACTGAAGCTGGAAGCCTCCTGGTCCACGTCTTGCTTTGAGCTATCGGAGCTATCTCCAATCCCGAGTCGTTGTAGGCAAAGCCTCTCAGCTTTCGGCAACTGCATCAATCCTTCCATTGTGAGGTTTAGATCCACCATCTCCAGCAACACCCGCCTTCCATGCGTTCCAACCTCATTGGACAGTGCGTGAAGCTCGTGGCCATCCGGGAGCGTGACAGATATGCTTCTGAAAGCAATCTGCAAGGAAAGGATCCGAAGATTTGGCGGCCTCCACTTGTGGCCCATAGACAGATGGCTCATGGGGCCTAAGCCAGCATCCCCGAAGCTCCCCCCACTTCCATGGCAGACATCTTCGAGATCCTGGGTGCCAGTCTCGGTTTCTTCGATGTCCTCATCTTCCTCTTCTACATCCTCTACATCCTCTTCCTCCTCTACATCACTGGGGTCTTCGTAATATTCTGCACGCTCGTTGAGATCTTGGTGTCCAGATTGGTTAGCGGCAGTCAGTTGGTCGGCATCGTCGACATCGTCGGCTCCTTCTATCTCTGCGGGCTCTGCGGGCTCTGCAGGGCCGGTTACACTCACAGGGTCATCTGGGTGCTTTCCTTTCTCCGATCCAGTCTGCTCATAGGCTTCCATTGCTTCCATTGCTTCCATCTCCTGCAGAGAGAGGGCCAGAGCCTGCCAGCAATGGCAACTCTTTGCATCGCTGGCACAGACATTTCATGCTAGAGGTACAGTATCCTCTCTGCTAAACAACCAGCAGGCCCAGGCCCAAGTGCTCAGTTCAGCATTACAAGTACAAGTACAAGGGCGCAGTATGCAAGTAAACAGATATATACAGAAGAACACAGACGTCACGGAAGTGCAGTGCGTTCTGCCAATGCACCTGTTGCAACTGCAGCTCTTCCTGTTCCTCCAAGCTGAGAGCTGGAGCTGGACACGAGGCCTGTGATGCTTGTGATGCTTGTGGTCCAGCAATCGGGGCCTTTGGTGGCTTTGCGCTTGTTGCGAGCGTGGCAAGCTTCCCTGTTAGATTCCCGCGCACCAGCGTGCCAAAGCTGCCCAAGGCTTTCTTAGAGGATGACGCAGCTTGTCCCAATGCTTTCTCGGCAGCCGCCTGAGCTGCCTGCCCACTGCGACGGGCTCCACCCAACACTTGGGTAGCGCTTTGTGTAGCTCTCTGCGCAGCCACAGCCGCACGTTCAGCACTGTGAACAGCACCGTGAACAGCCACGGCAGCTGTTCTACGAGCTTTTTCCGCAGCTGCATCAGCAGCAGCCGTAGCATCAGCAACAGCCCCCTGAGCAGCCCGTTGGGCAGCATGGGCCATTACCACCGCGCCAGATGCTTTCACGGTGGCTCCACCTGCATCTGCATGCAGCCCATGCGGTCCATCCCGTCCATGCCTCTGCCGCCGCTTTCGCGACACAGCCACTGCCTCTCTTGATGCCAAAATGCCTTCTACATGCTGTCGTGTTGCATCTCGCAGGAGTCTGAGGGGCGGCATGGGTGGTTGAGATACGTGGCAAATCATGGTTATCAAGTCGACGAGTTCTACTCGACCGCAATGCGCACGACACTCTCGCAAGACCAGGCTTGCCCGAACATCACGTGGTGCCAGTGCCATTCTGGAGCTTTGCCCATCGCGGCGCCCAACATCCCTGCCCTCCACCAGATCCACACCTGGCGCGACGCATCTCAGCAGTCGTTGAACTTCTCAAAAATGAAGGTTCCCGTTTCCCTTGTCTTCCCTGTCTGTTCTTCTCTCAGTTCTCTCTTCTCTTTTTCATTGTGGAAGGGGGATTAAGGGATAATATGGATAATTTCGGCGCCGAAGCAGATCAGGCAAGGGGCGGCAGCCGCAGAGCGACAGCAGCGCCACGCTGCAGGAGCCGGTGAGGCTCAGAGCGGACACGTCCAAGCTTTGCAGCTCCAGCCTCTTCTTGCAATACTGGCACGTATACAAAGGGATGAATTAAATTGAGAGCTTCAAATCAGCTTCAAATCTCTCTCTCTCTCTCTCACAGCATAGCCACACGCACCACAAACAAGATTCTCCAAGATGCCGGGCCTCCGATGCAGCGATGTCCAGCTTCGGCTTCTCTGACGGAACTTGGCCTTCTTGGAATCCTGGAACTTTGCTTGAGGAGGCTGTTTGCTTTGCATCTCAAAACGTTGTTACGGTCGGAATTGAGGATTGAGGTTCGAAGGGTCCAATCATCGGCTCTCAATTTTGAGGGTTTCGGCTTCGGTTCTTGGAGTGGGGAGGCGAACGTTTCACCATCAAAAAGGCATGGGATGGTGAGGCTGCGAAGCAGTATGCAAGGTCAAGCCAAAGCTCCAAAACCACAACTTGAACGGAACTCGCTCAAAGACAATCGTCCGCCCACTGCACAGAGCGAGTTTTGAGAAGTTGAGAACATTAGAACATTAGAACATTTAATTTGATTTTTGGCCTCCACCCACCTTCGACACATTCCACACCCCAGACACCACACAGCGGACCTCGGTGCCTCCTTGGAAGGAGAACTTGGCGGAGCCCAAAAACTCTCAAAAGCCCTGAACACAAACACTCAGATTTCTGTAGGCCTTGCCTGGTCAGGTGTGAGGGGCTTCAACGAGATCCCAGTCAAGCGCAGCTCAAAGGCAAACCTGGCAGGCAGTTGAAGTCAGGTGCTCCGCGGTCATGAGCCACAAGTCTATACATACTGGTAAGTCAGGTATGTGGACGCTTAGCTTTGGGGATAACCGTAACTACAAAAACTATATAACTACAACACAGCAAGTGCACCACAGAGCTGATGTCACTAATGTCGTCATTAAGTGGCATTGGATGGGCATCAGACTGTGCCGACGAAGTGAGGCTGCTGCATAGCATCAGCTGCAAAGATGCGATCGAGACATGCAAGCCATCAAGCATAGCAACCTTGACGTCCTTGGCAGGCCCAAGGAACATCAGCGCATAGCGAATATCTGTGCTTGAAGAAGAGATGCTCTTCGCTTCTCCGGGCAGCAACTATGTCGGCCCAAGTGCCGGCAAGACTCTGATATTCGTAGACTGTGCTGCTCCTTACCGTTTGCAGAATGTAGCTTGATGTAGCTTGTCATTTTGGGGGCGTAAAGCTGGCGAAACCTGACGGCCCAGGGTCCTGAGCGGAGTCACTTTGCTTCACAGGCGTCCGTGCCGCAGCTGGTGCAATCATCTCTGCCCAGGCTGCATCATTGATGTCATGCACCTTCACCTCTCTGGAAGCATGTTTTGTTTTTTTTCCGGAGGTGCTACTGAACAGCCGTCACCCTGCGCCCTGCACCTGGGCTCTCACGTGGCCGATCCTCACCTGCAACGGCCGCGAGCGAAGCGCGCTCCATGGCACAGTCACCGAGATGAGGTCACAGGAAACCGCCAGGACCTGAATCTCCCATCAGAGTGAAGAGATGAAGTGACAATAACGAGTGCATGCGGGAAGGAATAGTTGACTGATAGCAGAAGAGCAGAGGACTCCAAACTCCAAACGCGCCTCCAAGGTGTAGGGCACGAAGCCCGAGGAGTTGAGGAGGCTCTGCAGCGGTGCCACTTCGAGCTCGGCATCTCTTAACTCAACTTCCCCTGAAAGAAGTCCTTGGATTCTCTCTGCACATCTGCACACACACACACACGGGCGTACCGTGGGAGGGTGGCGGGGGGGGGGGGGGGGGTGCGAGTCGTGTCACGAAACTGCAACCATCCTTACGAAGCTAAGCCTCTGGATGAAACTTGGTCGGTATTCAGACCACGGATGTACCTGAGTCTGCATTCAAATCTCGGACCGGTACACCATAGGCAGCGCCAACGGCCACGGCAACTTGCTTTGCTCGAATGTGCTCGGGGCCTAATTACTGGGCCAAGATGCTTAGACAAAAATTGAACCACTTTGCGCTTGTGCATTCTGCATGATCCCTCGGCTGCTGGAAGCCACTGCGCCCATCGCTAAGCGAAACGCATGTCCAAAAAAAGATGTGAAGCAGATGACTAAGAATGACCTGGAGACTAAAGGCTGAACGGCGGTGTTAAGGCTTTGTTGGTTTGCCGCTTTGCCGCTGAAATGTCAGCTGTTGTCTTTCCATTGCTGCAAGCTGCGTTCTGACATGCTACCTATCTGCTTCAAGTGGTCTACATTAGAACAACCTTGAACATGCCGTCAAGCATACACTCAGCGAACAATGCTTCTGTTCAGCAGCTGCTACTGAGACACGGTGCAACGGTAGAACCGCATCTTTTTCGTCGGTGGTGAGACTCTGATCTAAGCGGGCATGATCCCTGTGCCTGTGCTGTGCTTCTTCTCTTTCAGTGCGCTCTCCACGGTACGATGCTGAAGCAAAGAGTCACGGCATAACGCTCTTCGCTCTGGACGAGCCTGCAAACTTGGAATGGGAGACGGATGAGGGGTTGCTCACTCGGTAGACGGTGCAGACATGGCTTGCGATGCCTGACAAGCCAAGCCGGACAGTGCTCCAGTCAATGTCGCACACTGCACTGCTGCCGCATCTAGCTTTGACGGGCGTGGACCTGAAAGGCTTGCAGTTCTGCCCCGACCTGATCATCCAAAGCCACTTCATGGTCGCAAACAAAGGGCTCTGTCGCAGCAGTCATGAACTGCCTTGGAGTGGACATCCATGAACTTGTTTACACACCTGATCCGGGAAAGACTCTGTGCCCGGCTTAATCTGCTGGCTTGGGGCTTGGTTGCAGTTGTTGACAAGCTCGGATGATAATTCGGGGCCACATGCAAAGAAAGCTCATGATGCTGCTCGGAATTGTCCCGGCCTGTCCACGCAGCTCATCTCACCAACGCTTAGCTTTTCCTCCTGACAGCTTCGGACATGTTCCAATTCAGCTGAAGCAACGCCATCTTCCGATCATGCAAGTGTAGAATTCACGCTGACCTCAGAAAAAAAAAAAAAAAAAAACATGGTCAATCTTGCTGCCGGCATCTGGTCCTTGACGCTGGCGATGCACTTGTTGTAGCAGCTGGACTGCATCCTGCGAGCCCAGAAGACTTCATGTTGACACATCCACAATCATCCGCATTGCTTCCACCTCTTCCACCTTCTTCCAACACTGAACAGCATCTGCGGCAAAAGCGAGACGAGCAGGCATCCATAGGCATCCTGAAAAAGATATCAGCCATGCCCTTCATCTCTGCCACCATCATGTCCACTGGGCTTACCTGAAAGTCAGGCTGTAGCGGCTGGAAACACTCACAAGAAGAATGTTGAGTGACAGTGCTCCGTGCCTGCGGCTGCTGCCCTGCCTGGGCGCCGATAAGGCTTGCCATGGTTTTGTGAAGCCTCGCACGCTGAGATTCTGCAATATTCAGCAAACAACTCATGCCGTGTCAATGCAGTTGCCTGCGCAGGCTCCGAGAACACACGGAGTGATCGCTGAGCCAATGGGACGAGGAGTTTGCATTGTTTGCATGCGAGGGCCATGTCGTGGACTCGTGGACTGGATCAATGCGAGCAGAAAAAGGAATAAACATCATCTAGTCTCATTCAACTCGAGCTCAAGCGAGTTATCCGCTTCCGCTGGAATCTGCCGAAGCCCAACTTGCACGCTATACGACAGATATCGAATCGAAGACACACTGCCGCTGCACTACTGATGTTCGCACATGCGCCAAGCATGAGGGCATTCGTATCCGATGCGCCGGCCGCATCTTCAGCGGCGGTCAGTATGCAGTATTGGCGATGCAAATTCGCACACTGGCGATGCAAATTAAGCTGGAATGTACCAGGAAGGAGGCGTAATTACAGAGCAAGTTCCCAATTCACACATTTCTGCAGCGGATTAACTGGATTGGGGGGGGGGGGAACAAAAAGAGAGTATAGATACATCCCAGAAAGATGTGAGGCTTGCACATCATCGCGGAAGGATGGCCAAAGAAGGCTCAAGGAGAAGGACCGCAGATGTTGAACGAACATTATGTATGTATGTATGGATGTATGTCTGTAGATTGATTATACTCATGGCGTTGTAGCAAATAAGGCTGTATCGTTGTAGCCATATTGTGGGTTGGACTTAACTGTACACTTTGGCGGGCGCTCCAACATTCTTGTCAAACAAAAACAACTCTGGGTTGGACATTGTCGGGCAGACAGTGGCGATGAGTCGCCCGTCAGCTCCCCGCGAATGCCATCGCACCTGGACGCCCATTTCGGGGTTGAGAGCACAACATGTTGAAGGGATACCTTGCACACCTGAAAGCACTAGATAAGAAGTGCCTGCCCAGCCTGGACAGATATCAGATGCAACACAGATGGACGCGTGTCAGTGCTTGGGGATTGTTCGAGGTCTCACTAACAGCGCATAGCGACATGTCGAGGAAAGTACAGAAGCGACTTCAACTTCAAGGTGCTCAGCAACATGCATCCCATGTCGAGGAAATAGACAGTACATAGTACGCTGACAAGGAGTGCCTTTGTTGGCAATCCCGCAGATCTTCTGCGTCAGATCATCCAAGTGAGCCTGTGCGAGGCATTTCCCAAGCCAAAAAACACAAGCCCGACAGATGAAATTACCCGCTGGAGCCGCTGGAGACGCACTCAACTCAGTAGAGGCTGCCGGCCGTGTGGTTCGTCACAGACTTGGGGTATCCATGTGCCTCAGCAAGTATCCCACTTCTCGGCTAATCCCCTAAGATGCGGGCGTTTCGGCTGGAAGACAGGGCTCATGACACGTGCTGGAGCGGTCTGCGGCCTGGCATCGAAGCTGATGGCACCGGCAATGACAGCTGCACCGGCACCGGATGGCACCGGTGCTTCTTTCAATGACGTCCCAGCCTTGATGAGGTCTTCCCGCCATCGGTCAGATGGGTTGCCTCAGAGGACTATGGTGAAGCTGGTGACGTTGCAAAAGGGTCTGGCCAGCAGAACTGTGGGGCGCTTGTGAGGCGAGCTGAGCTTCAGGCTCGAATCGGGAGGTGTCCTGGTTTGCAGTCTGAGTCTTGAGCTGCAGTTACCAACTGAACCAACTGATACCTAGTGATGTGCCAGGGGCCACCGATGGTGGCCGCTCGATTCTCCAGAGACCCTTCAGAGAGTCACATCACAATGCAACCGTGGCAAGGTCACCACAAATGCAGGGTTTAGCCAGCTTAGCCCAGCTAACTGACATGGACATGCTGGACACTGCGGCGCAACTCAAACTCGCAAAGCCAATGAAGCTTGCCAAAAGGTCTCGGGGTGCGCGCGGGTTGCCCGCTTGAAAGCTAGGCCCAGCAGCAGACACCGGATATTGGAACCATGTGAACATGAACTGTGTGGCTGTGTGAGACACCCGGGATTATTTACTTCAGCTTCGCTGCTGTAGACGTCTACAGGAGCATTCCGTCTTTGGACGCTGGGAGACGTTGAAGCATGTTGAACCCTGAAGTAGCTTGCGCATCTGTTGCCTGAAGATGCCACAAGGCCCGGTGCAGGCCCAGGCCACACGGGGGTACGTCAAAACAGAAAGGAATAACAGCGTCATAATGCTTACACGTCTGATGCGATGAGCTCACCATCCGCCAGCATGGAGCTGAGCTAAGGTGTGGCTTCAAGTGTTGTGAGATATTGTGAGTAATTGTTGGTTTCCAGTCGACACCAAGCCCTGTCCTGGATCAGGATCACGCCCAGACACCCAGGCATGTTGCAAAAGCGCGGAGGCTGAAGGCCTGCGACATCCACTGTCTATGTAGGAGCCCTTTTTCTGACGATCAGCCCAGGTTTGCGTCTGCGGAGCGCAACATGACACGCACTGATCGGCAGGTTAGCAGAAGATGCACTCTGACAGAGCATGTGCCACCATGTGTCGCACGTGCCATGCTGCGACTGGCCTTGCTGCCGCGTCTTTCCGCATGACTCCACGTATGAGGCGCTTCTGGGAGTCGCCTAAACCAAGGCCCAGTTGTCCACCGGACTTAAGGCATTCTTGAAACCTTTCAAATCTTAAAGCTTTCCCTCTCTCTCTATATATATATATATAATGCTATATATTGGCTTGACCTTGCCAAAACTCTGCACGCACGCACGCACGCACGCACAAGCGCACACGCACATACTCCATACCCCCCGTGGCAAAGTAGAATGACAAAATCCATTTGCACCTGCGAGAAATTAGGGTGCATATATAATGGGTTGGCCAAGCACGTCCTTGGCATGCGTTTCGTTGCACATGCACCTTTTTAAGCAGCCAAAGGTGTTTTGATGATGAATGGTTTGTGTGCGTATCTTGAACTGCTGCTTTGCAGAGGTTGCTGTCTACACGTAGCAGCTACAGTAGCAACTGAAGCTCTTTGAGCGGAGATCGTCTTTGGCTAAGCCATTGGACCTGGAGCTGACGGGAAACCATGACATAGTCGACATGGTGAAGTCGAGGCGTCATGTTTTTGTGGGTCATGCCATGTGTGATGTTGCCTGAAGGCACTTTAGGGGCAAGAACCAGCATCCAAGGCTCTCACAAAGGCAATCTGGAAACGTGAAGCTGCCGCGCCGAATTCGGGCGTACAGCTGCATCCTCAACAACGTGAATTGCAGCGGCGCTTGGTCAACACACTGCTTGTCGCACGAGATGAGGACTTGCACATGCTTGCACGTGCAAAGAGACCTTGGCTCTCAAATTGGGGAGGCGGCTCTGTCTTTGCCGAGAAAGGCAAAGTGCCCGAGAGCAGCGCAAAGAGCACCTGGGGATGAAGTATCTTACACGAATATATACTAAGCGACGTAAAGTATAGATATTAACCGGAGGTTGCATTTGCATGAACAAAAACAAAGAAACCACACCTTGTATTTACACATAGTATGTGTGTATATGTATACTACATGAACTTGCACTGGAAGTAAAACTTCCCAGTAAGTGGTTGCACTTTAAGGGCTTTTCCGAACTTCCATGGAGAACAAATCGCTGCGACCCTGTGGCACTCGGAGGTTGTATGGGGCCTCGAAATCGATGTTTGAGGGCGTGCTCCCATGCGCACTCTGTACTGGCAATCGTGCTCCCACCTAGGCCGCCAAGGCCTGCGGGCACTTCTTGAAGCTTGCCCTGTTCCGTGTCGAGAGCATGTGGCAGGGACTCACTTTCCTCTGCTTTTTTGGGCTCTTGGACGGGTTGGATTTTGTGTTTCGTCGTTTCGTTGTGTTGCAATTCGCGCCCTTGGCGCCCTTGGCTAAGTCGCGTAAGAGAAAATGCTCTTGTGAAGTGCAGAACTGTTTTGTCGCCTTGACATGCTCCTGGAAAGTGCTCCCGGGGTGTTTTGGAATAGGGAATGCTGCAATGCTCTAGGTCTTCTGCTGGATGGGTCTGTATTCCGCGTGTCGCTATTAGCGCTGGAGCTCCGGGCCCCCGACCACTCCCAAGGCCCACACATCAGCTGCGAATCCTGCAAATTGTTGCACCGTAAGACAGGTTCTGAGCTGTAAGGGTTTTGTGCAGTGGTGGCCATGTTGGGAGGCTCGGCTGCCTTAAGTCCCAAGTATAGGTGGAGATTCCATAGACAGGTTCCATAGACAGATTCCATAGAACAAAAACAGTCCATGCTAGCTGTGGTGTACTTGGTGTACATAAGCAAGAATCGCATGAGCATCACACGATGCCAACCATTGGGGCTGCCACCCGCTCGGAGTATAGGTTCTAACCGAAAAAGACTCGCAATGACGCAAACTTCATCGACCCACTGCCTGAATAGCCCTCGCCACGGATTATTTCCGGAGCCATATACCTGGCAACACTCTGACTCTGAATTCTCTGACAGCTCCAAACCGATTCATACGGAGAGACACATGGCGTCGTTGCGTGGCAGCAGTCATGGCAAGAGGCTCAAGTTCCAGCCCGACGCAATTTCTTGATTTGCGCAGTCCGCCACCTTTTCCAGCGTAGTCCGCAGAGTCCGCATTCCGCCTTTCCGTTTTCTGCAGCAGCTATAGCACTTTGGGCAAATGCCACTGTGAAGCCCGGCCACGGTTCAGTCCGGCAGGAAAGGCTCTAGGATGCTCTAGGTCCTGGAATGTCCTGGATGCTGGATCTGGCGATGCTATGAAGAAAGCGGGACAGTGCAGGCAAAGTCTTTGGCAACCTTTCGCGCCTCGCATGCAGACCAGGAGTCGTGAATTCTATTTACCAAATCAGGTCAAACGGAGGAGTGTCGACCGTACAATTTGAGAAAAGCGACTGACAGCGACACTCCGCTGTCTTCGCATGAAAGTGGCATGCTAAACCAAGGCACTACTTGCCTGAAGCAACACCTCCTGCAGCTGAACCTTGGAAGTCTACAGGCCAAGCCTAAATGCCTGCCCAAGCGAAGAGCAACATACAGAGCTCTTTGCCAGGAACCCAAACAGTGACGTGCAGAACAGCAGCTGCATAAACCTAGGCGTGGCGCTCTAGATCCGACTTAACTGCGCGCGAGCATGCATCTCGCAGGCGCGCCACATGGTGCGACTGTACAGAGCACAAGACGATTGCTCACCACATAACTGATATCAGATGATAGCAAGAGCCCACAGCACAGGCGCCTCGACCAGAATGCTGCCTGAGCCCCTCCTCTGGCTCAGCTGCATGATACCACGGCACATTCCCTCCGCACCTGTGCCCTCAATTGGCCGTGTGTCCAGCTAGCAGCTAGCAATGGAATGGAAATTGAAGCAATATTTGGAGGGGCTGGAGGCAATGTCCTCGAGCGAGATCCCAGCGTGAAGCAAGCATACTGCTCTTTATCTACGAAGGCGCCCTGCATGTTAGACATCAGCGCGGCACGGTTGGCATAGTGGGCGCAAGGCATCTTGTACGTGCTGTGAAAAATTGTGCTCGACGCCAGCATGGTCCGAGGGCCTGCTTAAAAACAGGAGGGGCCAGGGGAATCAGGATGCTCGAACAGCCTTGAGGCCAGCGGTGTAGGTCTCGTACTTAGCTCCAGCAGCAACCAAAACCTTCAAAGCGGCAGTCTCCCATCGAAGGGCTCCTCGCCGAAGATCATGCCATTGTCGACGTTGACCCCCACGGGTGTCGTGGTGGCTCTTGTACGTGCTGCCGTCCGTAATCAAGCCAGGGGCATGCTCCCGCAGAAGTTGATCACTGGAGGTCCCGAGCGATTGACGCCATCCTTGCTACAGGCCGAGTGGATGTGTGAAGCAATGAGTCCGACTGCCAAGGACACTAGCAGTGCAATGCATGCCGCTGTGGCTGCGGGGCTGCGGCAGTGGCTTCACTGTCGCGATTGCTGGGGAACGACTGAACCAGCGTGTTGAAGCTGAGCTCACTGAACATGTGGTAGCACTCATCCTCTGGCACGGGCTTCGCCTTCTCTGGCTGCGCAGTGGAACCCTTGGGCACGCACTGCGTGTACCAGGAGTTCATCTGCGAGCAGCTGAAGCCAAACGGCAGCATGTCGGACCGGTCCAGCCAGCGCCGCCACATTGGACCCACGCAGTGGCATAAGCGGCACCGGCATCAAAGATGGGTAACGCGGCAGCATAAATTACTAAAGGTCGAAGAGAGAGACCGGAGCACCATGCCTGCGGAGACACCTCCAGCAAGATGCTCTGTGCAGACTGTATAGAACCATCAGCAGCAACACGCATTCATCGAATTTCCGATATATCACTGCTGCAATGCTGAGGTTGTGAAGATGACGGTGAACAGAAGCAGTGGAGGGGAAATTGGAACAGTCCTTGAAGTGTGGGCCTCGCAGCCGCCTCCCGGGCCCAACAGATTCTTCGCACAGAGATTAACAGAAGACGAAGAGCCCAACCCCTGGACCTTGATGTGGACCATGTGGACTGGACCGTCTCATCGCACAAGCTCCTCAACCTTCACGGCGCAGATTTTGCCACGACCTGGACTGGCTCGCCCGAAACGCGACTTGATGCTGTCTCTGTACCCGCCTCAAATCGCTTTTGCCACAACTTGGGCATTGCTGCACGTGCTTCCAGGAGATCCTGTGCAGCACTTCTGAATCTTTTCAATATACTCCGTACAGCATTAAACCTCCAATGTCGGCTAAGTTTCATAGGAACACATAAGATTCCCTCTTTGAATTGCCGGACAGGTCTAGAATTCCAAAGCGTTCCACTGAAAACTACAGGAAACCTCAGAAGGCTAGGAGCTATATGGTTAGCTGCGAATTTCCATGGATAAAGTATGCAGATGCAGCAGCACTGCCATTGAAACATATTGAAGCTACAGCATGGATTTCCATCAAGGCGCATCTGAAAGTTTTAGCGGTCGGGGCTTGGGTGCTTGTGTGGGGAATTGCTGAGTGGTATCGGCCTTAAAGACCTATGCAGTCGTACTAAACTGATCCTGGCAATCAGAAGAGGACTTTGACTTTGTTTGCCGGCCATCCACCCTTGCTACGACATTCCTGCCTCAGGCTCCGATCTGCTACGAAAGGCTAACAAAGGGCTGGCAAAGCTAGAGAAAGTTAGGGAAAGTACGGAAAGCAAGTTTTCCTGGGTTTTCGGGGAAGCCCCCCCGCCCCCTCCCTAACCGCAGGCTCGGCTAGTCGCAAACAAGATTTTCGCCAATTCTGCTTTGGCGACAATAGATTGCCAGACCCCCTCAGCCCTACACGCTACACCCAGCAACCCTGCAGCTTTCCAAAGATTTCAACGGAGTAGACCATCTGTTGAGGTTTCCATCACGCAAAATGTAAATCAGCAGTCTTCACCTCAAGTCACAGTGGCAAAAGAACATATCAAAGCTGACCTCAGAGCGCCCACTCGGAGTCTCTCGGCCCTCTCTGTCACAGTGTTGGGCCTTGATCACGACATCCACTGCAGGGTCAGCATGCTGCGGAATGTCGTGCAGCAAAGCTGCTTCGCCTGGACACAAGTGTTGGCAATCACTCGAGTAGCTATCTTACCGGGCCCGCAGGGCCTGCTGTCATTGCTGTCACAGTCGCCTCGCTCTGGGCTTTCTGGTTCTGCTCCTTCTGCGGAGCTGAGGCAAGTTCTGCAGTAAACGGCTATCGGCCTGTGCCTTGAACTCGTCTACCAGGACGGTACGTATGCCAAGCGCCTGATGCAGATGCTACGGCGATGTGCTGTGCTGGTTCAATGGTAAGTATTGGACACCTTAGGACATAAGAGGACCCGCAGGGTCATTAAGAAACACAAGCGGCGCTTGCAACAGTCGTTCAAAAACCCGCAAGAAGCGACGTAACTAGCTCGTCTTTTCTGATGTACGCTTGCAAGATGTATGAAGCCGACCGGATATTCGCAGAACATCCGCAGAGAACAGGCACTACGAGTGCGTTTTGGAGTTGCAGCGAAGCGAAACCACTTCTGGGAAAAACAATTATTAAGAGGTGAAGTGATTCATGGGTGGAGAAGTTTCTCGTGAGCTTTTTGTTTTGGGGGTGGAAAAACCTTTATTTCCCTATTTGTTGTTTATGTTTTTACGAGGATCCCTCTACTTTCTCGGCAAATCTCGATATTTTCTTTATTCTCTCAGAGGAAAACCTCTACTTTCCTTGGTTTCCCTAGGAAAAACTCTATGGCTTCAGGAACACTCTATGGCCTCTGCATTATAATCGGTTCTTTTCCTGGGAAAAGCCCTATTGCCTCTGAATTTTCACAGATTCTTAATTTGCATGAGATTCGCATGAACTTCTTGGCTTTCCCTAAGAAGACTCTATTGCCTCTGTATTTTGATGCGTTTTTGCCTAGGGAAAACTCTATCGCCTCTGCATTTTTTAAGATTCCTACTGACCAGCAGCCCCGGATGCAAACACAATGCTCGCAAGACGGGTTTGGAAAGGATTCCGATGCATTAAATGCAAGTTCTCTTCGGAAGCGGGGGGTTGGGGCGGGGGGGGGCACCCTCCAGTTGCAAACACGATGCTCGCAAGACGGGGTTTGACAGGACGGGTTTGCAAAGCCTTCCAATCCTTTCACGCAAGTTCTCCTCTTTAATGCAAGTTATCTTCTTTTGGGCATGACGTAAACAAGATAAGCAGTGCGGGTGGGAAGGGGCCGCCCCCCCCCCCCCCCCCACCCCAATTGCAAACACAATGCTCGCAGACGGGTTTGGAAAGGATGCCTATGCTGCCTATGCTTTCAGGCAAGTTCTTTTCTGGGCTTCCGTTTTCTTTCTTTCTTTATGCATTTCTTTTTTCAGTGTCCTTCTCTCATTATTCCTTCTCCTTCCTTTCCTTCCTTTCCTCTTCTTCCTCAATCCCCCCCAGCCCGAGGCCTCTTCCAGAAAGTAGAGGTTTCTCCTAGTTAGAACATGGAGTAAATTAAGGTTTTTCCCCGAACAAAGACGACGTATAGAGGCTTTCCGAGAGAGTAGAGGTTTTCCTAGCAGCAAAATACGCAAAAAAGAAAATAGAGCTTCTCCCCCCACCCAACCCCCCGCTCCCCCCAAAAAAGTTCGCGAGCATTGAAAATTAACAGTTGCAAAAAAAAACACATCCTGCGTACTTAATCGTGTTTGGCCATAAGAGCCTGAAGCCCTAAAGCGTAAGCGTCAAGACTCGAAAGCATTGCCGAGCAAACCAATCCAAGTATGCTTTCGCTCCCGTCGTCTCCCCGGTCATAGATGACCTTGTGTTATCGCATGGTTCCATGACGGGGTGCCTGAACGCAGCCTTCAGCAGAACGATCTGCCTGTTATTTTGGGAGTGCCATTAACATCTATCTTTGCCTGAAACGGCAAGTCCTGATGACTCTGATCACATGTTTTACATCATGGTAGAACAGAACAGCTGCATAGACGCCTGTCTGTCATATCTGACAAGCACTTCTTGCTTAGGCTTTGCGAGTTTCAGCATGCTGCATGGGCCTTGCACGCGCGAATGTTCTTCATTGAGTCCTCCCAAGTACATGTACGGATTGATTTTGGGCTGATTGGCCAACCAGCACAGCGAGTCCTCAAACATCACCGTCTTTTGAGGCAGGGCTCCAATGCTGTCAAGAACTTGCTTGAATGCCTCAGTCTGCACGTTTCGACACTCGTCGATTTTTGAGCTGCGTACTAATCTACTTTAAGGGAGTTGTTTAGCTGGGGCTTAAGTGGACACTCAGCTGCTGAGAATCCCGTGATAGCTCTCCGTTTCCCATAGTATCTTGCAGCTGGGGGCTCAAGCCCCAAAGGGTTTTGCATCCATCCGGGCAAGCGGGCAAGGAAGCAGAGGCCAAATCAACTGCGTGCCATCACTTGGCTTATGCTGGCTTAATCAGCACGTCTTCAAAGAGGACTCCGAGGAGCTTTTGCAGCCTTCCGGACTCGTAAATGCTGTCAACTAGTGACCGTTCAGATGAACAGAGAGCGCTCTCCTTTTGGGACTGTTCGCGGTGACCGCTAACCTCTTGAAAGCAACAATCAACCTCACACGGTGAGGGGTCGCCGGTCAACGCCAGGCAAATAAGGCAGAAACAACATGCTGTTGAAAAAACCTCTCATGCCAACAGCAACTACCGTACCAGACAGCTTATGGGGCTCGGTCGATGGTCCTCCCCAACGCAACTCGTGCGAGATCTCCAATAACTCCAGCCTACTTTCAGCCGTGCTTCTTCCGGCTGCGGCTTGCAGGCAGGAAGCACATCCTGCGCACCATTTGCACGCATATGCATGCATTCAGTACTGGAGTATACTGGAGTGGTCTTTTGATGTCTTGGGGCCTCAACAGCGAAGATGTGGTCGTCTGGGAAGAGAGCACGAAGGCCCAGCTTGTCCAAGCAGCAAAGAGCGTACCTGCAAATATTCATACTCTGAGTTAGAGCGGCGTGTAGTGAAGAAGAAGGAATTGCATGAAGCCTGGCATGCCATGGTCTCTTCTTGAAACTCTCTCCTATTCGGGACGTGGAGCATCGTGGAGCATCACGGGGCACTTGCGCGGCGAGTTTGTGAAAATTGCCACTTTGAGACCCACCTGGCACTCCGCAAGGCATTCTAAAGTCTAAGGTCCAAATAGGAGATGCTTGCCAAATCTCACCAAGCCTGAGCTAAGCTGTGGATCACCTCTGCTTGCCGAGGGTCTGGATGGATGAACCTGCAACTTCAACAGCAGGCAAGAATTGGTGGTCCAGATACGGGCAATCTGCCATGGGATGATGCACGACAAGGAGCAAGCTCGCATGCTCCACAAGAGGCTAATCGTCAGTTTGGTCATCTTATTTTGGCGTTGTAGCTTGAAGAGGGCGGTGATGAATGCATCAACTGCGCCAAGAGTGGGGCTACAAGCCCCCTTTAAATGACAAGAGCAGAGATGCGGAGGCAGCAATGATCCTCAGCAGGATCCTTCTGTTCAAGAAGCTGCGAATGCATGTACCCTTGTGAACTGCAGTGGAAATGCCGGACGTGAAAGACGCCAGGATCAGATGCGCTCGTCCAGGCTGCAGTGAACACTTGTCACGCAGCCAGCACAGAGCATTCTTCCGCGCCCGCTACCTGAAGGACTTAAGGCGCCTGGGTACTGAGGAGCATTCTTCTATCTTTCTGGCTGAGATCTTCATGGTACAGGCTGCCAACCCGGCGGCGACATGTGGTGACTCTACGTATGAGCTGAACAGCAGGCAGAAGAGTTGGGTAAAGAAGAGTCGCGGCCTCTCGAAGTCACAGTGATCTGCCCAAAACTGGCCCAATTCTTCCTGGCACGGCATAGGATGTCACTGTACAGCATTATACAGCTCAGGGCAGCTCTTGCACGGGACTCCTGCCGGAAAGGCTTAGGCAATCTTCCATCCTGCCGCTGACGCACCCGAGCAACCAGTTCCAGCATCAACTGCTACCGCAAGAGCCAATTGCGAATCCTTCGTTGCCATGTTGAGGCCCTTCATCGTGGAGTGGTATCGCCTAGGCAAGACTTCAATGGATTCATGGCATGCGCTGAGCCACAAAAAACCTAAGTTGATGCCGTGTTGCTGGAAGTACTCATCTCGAAGAGTTTTGGCAGACTGCATGGAGTCAAACCCCAGGTAGTCCATCATGAACTTGCAGACGACCTGCATAAATGATATACCCTACGGTTGGTCCTCATTCCAGATGCTCTTGGCCCTTTTGCTTGCTCTCTGGTCGGTGGTCTACTCTTGTATAGAATGAACGGTCTACACATCTACCGTTGCCTCGGGAGCAAGCTTGAAAAATCGATTGCCACATCAATCGTGGTTTGTTAGGTGTGTGGCCGGGCCTAGCAATTGCATGCCATCTGGCAAAATCGTTCGAGACTTACTACGAGTATGTTGCTTCAATGCGTGGGGCCAGCATGCATTTATCATTCGGCAACACAAGGACTGCGACTACAGGGAGACAGTGCGATCGCGATTCCTCAAAGCGGAGTTCAGTTGAGTCGTTGTTAGCTTGCTCGTCACACCCTTCATGCCGTCATTGTCAGCCTCGCCATTTCGATGATCTGAGAAGCCGGTGCTCACAGGGTAGAGCGTATCATCTAGATCAAACCTGGGAGTCTTCAGAAGCTGTTGCAGAACATCAATCATGGCACAGTCGTTCATTTCACTCGGTTATCTATTCCTTTGCCAAGCAGCAAGATGGCATCGATTTCAGCCATCGCTGCACAGAAAAGATTGCGTTGTGCGTTGCAGTTGTCTTATGACTTAATGCCAGAGCATGACAGACACAAGAGGATCCTGAGAAAGTGTGATGCCAGTATGCCGCAAGCCTCTACAGCCTTACTGATAGTCATGACTTTGGTGAGCTGCAAGCTGTTGGCCCTGGAAGACATGTTGCGGCTCTCAGGCTTATAAGCTTGAATCAGCTGATCGCACGGCGACTTCAGTTCATTGGAGGACAAGGCACGACATGAACCACAGGACACGAAAAGTCGTTGGGGTCACGATGGAGTGCCGCAGAAGGCTTTCAGCTTGGTTTCTTTGCTGGGAACCTCGAGGAGCAGAGGCCACCATGGAACTTCACTCAGCGCGTGACATCTTTCCCTTGCTCCATACTATCCCAGACATTCCCATATCAACACAACAGGGGCACGTGTGCTGCGAAGCCAAAATCGATGATCTTGACTCCTTCTCGACCTGGCTTATGTCACCATCCAACGTCAGTGCTCAGGCTCATTCAGGCAGCCTTTGTCCAGAAGCACGTTCTCGAGCCTGCATGCAACGATCTCCCAAACACGTGCGGAAAGGCACAACCGAAATGACCATAACTTGCTACAACTGGAAGGCGGAAAGCCAGGCTTCAAATCACGATGTGCCACCATCCGCTCGTGGCACACGGACACGCCCTCCACGACCTAAGCATATTGCCAAGCTTTCCCAGCAAGTCCGACAATCCCCAGAATGCCAGGCCTGTCGGTAGTACAGACGTGCAGCCTGTCAAGCTGCAACAATGTGATCATGCTCTTTTGTGGGAACTTCAACCACTTGTCCCATGTCAATCTGCTTTGTATTGTAGACCTGCTCGGAAAGCTTGTGGCAGGGTTGGCGGTGTGAGAAGGCCCGCAAGGACTCTCCGTCCACGAGCTGCGCAGGACAGGCTGTGGAACAACACAAGACGCAGACCACAGTGCAACATCAGCAACATCAGGCCCAAGCTGAAACCCTAAACCCTAAACCCTAAACCCTAAACCCTGAGACCCGGACAAACTTGATCCGTCAAATGCACCAGGCGAGGAAGTGAAACCACCGATGGTAAGCGAGCTTTTGACGAACTTTTTCACGACTGCGCTCAATCATGATGCCAGCATGTGCATCTGCATGCTGCTGCAGCCCCTACGCACTCAAACCACGCCTGTACAGAGACTATCATTATAGCATTATCAACACGGTAGCTGAAAGGGCGGTGCTCACGGACGGCTCGCTGACGGGTCGCAACCACCGGAGTCTACACAGCGCTAGGGCGAAGTTGCATGTCTCCGTTGCGCTTCCAAACGAAGCCTAAGCCTGACATCTGCAAACAGCTTTTACGCCTGAGCTTCCTGTATTGTAACCCCTGGCATCTGAACAATTTACTTTCGAACTCAAGCTTGACAAGAATTCCAATCCGCTGAGGCCGGAGGCCTGAGTCGTTTAGGTCGTGTGGGAACCGTGCAATTGAAGGTCTAGTTCTTGGGACCGGAATGGGTACCGGCGGACGATGTGTCAGGATTAGGGGTGCCAGCCAACCCCTTTATGCCATGTACGCCACATCAAAAGTGCGTCTTGTAGGCAGGTCCCTGGCCCCCTCCCCTGCTCTGGGCCTCATTCCTTCCACAAATGCTCCTTTCCCTCTGCCCCCCTTCCCAACCCCGCCAACCCTGCCCGCGGATTTGGTTGGCGGCCTCACCCTGGCGCGTTCAACTATGGACCCTTCCTTGGCGAGCGTACTTCTAATCATTGTAGTCGCAAGTGGGAAGGTGGTCGGGGCATTGGCAGTGGCTGCAGTCTAGAGCTAGTGCCACTGTCCCCTGTTTTCCGACTGGTGTCTAGAAGGTCTTGCCAAGGAGGATGAAAAAGGCCTTGCCTACTGAAGCACAAACAGGGCAAACAGGGTTCAGTTGGCATCTTTGTACATGACCTCGCACTCAGCGCTCAAATGATGGGCATCTGCTGTGAGGACTGAGGTGACAAGGACGCTGCTGCCGCCGCTGTCGTAGCCGCAGACGTCGATGATGGATAAGCGGCTGCTGCCGCCTCCATGGTGACATTATGTGACATTCACTTGCAATCATCGAAAACAACCATCTGTAGTCCTCTTTTCGACATCGAAGTCATTCCTACAAAAAGGAAGTATCCCCTCTGAGCCCTGGTGCCGACATGCGTCGGCATTTGTACTGTAGAGGTGAAGTACGAGGTGTGTTGCAGCGGCGCTTCTCGTTTAACTGCTTCAGTGCTAGTACGTTTTAGGGCTTCTAGGTCATGCGAGTCAGGGCTTAGCTCAGGACAGCGATTTTTTCCTTATGAGGGAGGGGGAAGGGGGCGGAGGCAGGGGGGGGGGGGGGGGGGGGGGGGGGGGGGGGGGGGGGGGGGGGGGGGGGAGACTCGCAGGAGGACTGGGGAGCATAAGAAAAGCCAGGCTTGAATTGAAAATAGCTACCGAAACGGTGGCATATCTGAGGGGTTCTGGAGCATAAGAAAAAACGGCTCAGGAGAAGAGCTTGGAACGGCTTCTGGGGCACAAGAAGAATCTTATGAACTGTACAGCATAAGAAAACAGAGTCCTTTAATCGCTGATTTGGTGGAGGATGTTCTTGGGTCTTTGGCTTGTTGGCATCAGAGTTGAGTGCCTACCTAAGCTTCATTTCCCACACGCGCTTGGCTTGCATGCTTACTGCGTGCTTTTGCAGAAAAGCTTACTTTGCATGCATTGTAGCCCCCGAAGCACGAGCCGCGATGGAGGCATTCCAAGGGCTCAAAACGCATTCATTCTCGCTTTGATACAAACTCCCCAAACTGTGGAAGGGTTCAACGCCGCGGCCAGCGCTCGCCGCCCGCACAACGCGTTGTTCTCGGAGCCTGCAGATGCTCCCGCATTTTGGAGGAACAACCGCGCTCTCGCCCAAGATCGGGCGTGGCCTCGCTCACCGTTCTCGAAACTGCGATCGCTTTTGGACGTCTGGGCTCAGGAAATGCGGATCTCTGTCGCTTGTGGACTTCTAGGCTCATGGTCTCTTACTGTTTGGGGCCTGAGCTGTCATAATACATTGAAAGTTCACGCCTGGCTGCTAACCCGAAAATTGCACTTCCCACGTCTACGTGATAGCGTCGACAGTGCATGCAGGAAGCGTCATTCTCCAGATGATGGTGAAACCACAGCATTGCCTTCTGATTAATTGCAAGCAGCTGCCGATGACAGACGAGAGATTCTCAAAGTCCCAAGAATTCTCTTGTCCATGATCCTATGATGCCTGGCATGTCTAATGGAAGTCTGGTCGATGTTTAATCCTCCCCCGACCTCACATACCTCACCATCTCGTGGAGCTGGAGCAGGCGCATGTGGTGCAGGCGCCACAGCCGCGCTGGCTGGTGCCTTTTCTACTCGCCATGGAGCTCTCCACAACTCCCACGACTCTCTCACTCGGAGACTCTCAGATTCTGCGATGTGTGTGATGCTGGCATAGTACCTGCTGGCATGCTGGCAAGCTCCGAGCTCGCGGCACCATCTAGGAGAGCCACTGTGGTGCTGTGGGCGGCTCTCAGGTTGTCAAGCTGAGCCTGCAAACTGCACCACGAGCACGGAGCGGAAGATACGAAGGCAAGCGCATAGGTTGAGAAGGTTGAGGCATAGCTTGAGGCCGCCTTCACGCTGGAGTCGCCCAGAAAGTCACCGTATGCCTGGCAGAAATCATCCAACCTGGGAGCCGCCACCGTCACAGTTACGGCTGTCGAAGTGCGTTCCTGCGGGGGATGATAACGATGATGATGATGATGACGACGACGACGATTCTCTGTTTATGATGACAATAATGATGATGCAATGATGCTAATGGAGGTGGTGATGACGACGACGTCTGTTTGGCGGCGTCTGTGCGGGGCTGGACAGTGGGTGACTTTGTGTTTCAATTGCCTTCATACAGTTGTTCTTTGGTCGCTCTGTCAGTACCCTCGGCCAATCTTTCAGGTATGAGAAGGCTAGATGTGGCGTCTAAGCTCGAAACGCATCCGCTGCTCCCTGAGCTGCTGCCAAGACCGCTGCTTTGGCGCTGGAGTCCTGACATGATTCGCATGATTGCATCAGGAGCATCGGTGTTCGAAACCTTGAAGCCCCAACACCCCAACATCCAAAAACCCTCCCTTAAAGCCATCTTTCGAGCCCTGGCTTACTATGTTACTTTGGTTGCTAGTGCCGAGAACCCGTACCAGGCCTCAGGGCAATATCTCTTACCCACCAGGCGTTCAGGACAATACATGGCGTGAGTGCCGATACGGCGTGCAGTGCGACTTTCTCGCGTTTTTGCTCAAGATGCGCAGTAGCACGTCTCGTGCACGCAGATGACGATTCTCGTGACGGTGGCCATGATGATGCTGATGGTGAAGAAGAACATGCCTTGATGAAGAAAGGAGATAGCTTGGAACATGATGCGTTTCGGCGTGGCACAACGCGGTATAAGAGCTCCAACCAGGCCCGTGCATCTCCAGCACTATCACAGCCAGTCCACAGCTGGGCACAGAAAGGAAACGTTGCTTCATATTTTGCTTGTTTTCGCTTCATGCCCAATGTTGCATCCTGTGTCATTCCAACTGATCCCGGCCCTTTCAGTGTCCTGACATTGTGAATACGGAGGACGCGCCAATGACGCTTCAACGTGAAGGGTTGCATGTTCGTGGGATGCACGGGGCGGAGGTTCTAAACTCTTCCACGGGGAAACAACCATTCTTCGCAAAAAGTGATTCGCCTTTCGCGACTCTCTTTGCGGACCTTGGCGGAGCTCGCTTTAAGCACGTGCTGGTTACTAGAGCAACGCCATGTTGACATAGGTGAGCTTCGAGCTATCGGTCCATACACAACATACAGAATGGGCATGCGGCGCCCCAAACTTTACTGCATCAACACATCGCACGGAAGAACCGTGACAGACAACAAACATCGACAAACCTTATCATACCTTGCCATATCATCTCTTGTTCTTCGTGGCATTTCTTGCAATATACAGAAGTGGATGGTCTTTCCTGGTTCCCATCGTGATCTCTGGCGGCCCGTCTGTTAGTCATGCACTGGTCGGCTCATATGAGCCCAGGACAAAGGAGCTTTAGAACTAGTACACAGACGTCGACTCGAACAGAACAAGCGATTCCGAGACACCAAATTCGAATACATCTCGTTTGAACATGTCACGGAGTGTCGCAAATGGGGCCCCTCACATGGGGGCTTAGGGGCGCTTGCTTCCCAAGAGCTGCTGCTGAACCCATGAGCATGAAGGCTACTCTAAATCCACGTCTGCAGCTGCTGCTTGCAGCTGTTGTCATGCTTCCTGAAATAACAATGCGCACTTGCGCGTGGCATGGCGAGCAAACATGCACAAACGCAGAACGCGTGCAAACGACGGCAATTGTGGGCAATTGTGGCATTTTGCGCGCCGCAGATCACCACGATTGCGCACAATTGTGCGCTTCTGCAACTGCTGCGCAATGTTCGCTGCAAGGTGCGCACGCTCCGCATCATCTTCGCAACAGTTTTCGGAAAGGGTTCCCAGCGCGAGTAAGGACCTGATCGCCCAAATGAAAATGAGATTCCGCAGTCGACAAGCACTGTGAAAAGGCACAATGTTTCACAATTGACATCAAATGAACCTTTTCAGGCTCATCATACCTTATGCCCCCATTACAGCGCCCCCATTCGCGACTCTCTGAAATGTCATGCGAACTCGCCGGGCCATGCTCTTGTGCTGCGGAAGTTGGACTACGTTGAATCTGCAACCGCGGCCGCTCTGGGCGGGGGGACGCATGCGTGCACCGTATGCTTGACCCTGTGCTTTACACTCCTGGTCAGTTTGGTAGAGGATTTGTTACTACTATCGCACCTCCTTTGCGATACGGCAAATGGTGGAGGCGGTTCGCTAGCGCCAAATCTTCTGAGACCCTTCGCTTCAGAAAAACTGATACTATCGAACCGCCTCGTGATATTTTTGCGATAATGCAAAACGGCGCCAAGTTTTCCGGAGCCCTTTGCTTCATGAACAACTTAAATGTTGTCGAACTGCCTTGTTTTTACGATGAGCCTGACAGACAAGTTGGTGCTATCACGCCGCCTTGTGTTTTCTTGCGGTTGGGCAATTCAGCCTACACATGTTAAACAAAGAGACCTTCTAGAGCATCTGTCAGTTTGAAGTGCTTAAGTTTAAATTAAACTGCTTTCCCTTTCAGGACACTCTCAGTCACGTGTTACATGAAATACGGCCCAGACGAGGTCGGGAGCTCTTCTCAAAGTCACAAAAAAGCATGTTGAAGAAGTTTAGATGCTCGCACTGCAAAGGTCCACTCTCTCATTGAAATCTGAAAGGTATAGGAAGTTAACATGCCTCACAAACTTAGCATATCGAACAGTCCACGAATGTGAACCCTGCCTACCCTACTTATGACAACAAAAAGACCCCAACTGGAAGCGAACCAGGGCTCGGCCAATGAGGGCCGCATGAAAAATCATCAGTTTGGAGTTCTGGGCAACAGGTTTTCCGGGACAATTCAACATGTAATTATTTTTCCACACATCTTGCATATGTTCAAGGTTGAACATGTATATTTTGCTAAACAACCTGTTGAAGGACTGCATTTTGAACATTGCAAGCATTTTGCATGCCACTTGATAAAAAAATTAAGGCAGCGCCACATCATTACAATGGTTGCTCTGTTTAAAACTACAGGCTATTTTGAAGCATTCTCTACCAGAAGGTTGCAGTCCCGTAGAGCCAAAAATTCCTATGTAGGGTCTGGATGCACATAATGGGCCACAGGTCTACAGGGCAGGGTCGATCCGGCGGTAAAAAGGATGCTTTCCATGTAGGCCCCTGAGGCCGGCTCCTGTGCTTCCACAGCTTTCTGGGCCTCTGCCTGCAGCTCCTTTGCTCTTCCCTGTGGTGAAGCTGCTCACTCTTTGCAGAACTGCTCCCTTTCTCTCTCTCTCTCTCTCTCTCTCTCTCTCCGTGGTCCAACACATGGCCACCTCCGAGTAGCGGAGGTGGTCGAGCAAGAGCAGCTTGAAGTGGCTCTGGAATTCGGCCTTCCAGCAATTCGTGCCACCCTCAACGAGCGTTTTGCAGAGACTTCTCTCATACACATTATCAGACCTGCAGCTGATGATGCCGTAAACTCCCTAAAATGCTGTGCCTGCTTCTGCTTCAAGTCCTCGGTCTGTTCGCGGACGGTTTGCCTTAGCTAACCGCTGGGAGAACAAAGTGGGCCCTGTGCCCTCAGCAAAAGCCGAGATGAGGCTTCAACTGGAGAGCGCTGCCAGTCTCCTCAATCAGCTGCCTGCATGTGCCATTTGGCATTCATGAAGGCTACCCTCCCCTCCTCCCTGCAGAGCCCGTTGCCCGTTCTCTTGTGAGATCCTTTGTGTGTCTTCCATTGTTTCATCAGATGTTGTCCGCTTCTAACTCGTCCCGTGAAGCATCCAGCTCCCGCATGGTGGCTCTGAATGCATAAGCCCAGCTTCCACTCCTTTGATGCCCCGTAACTATGCGGCACATGAATATACGGTGTATATTCCCAGAAACGGATCGCCCAGAGAAAGCTGGCTTTTGATGCGAAACAGCATCGCTGCTTTCGCTTAGACAGCAGCAGAGAGCTATCATGGGAGGCAAGCACTCCACATGTGACAAATCTGAGTGTACATAGTGCATTTGTTCAGATCTTTCCTGTGTGGTACATCAAGACCACTTTCGACAAAGCAACAATGCTCCGAGCCAGGAAAGAGACAAGCTTCTGAGACTTCTGAGCGCAATGAATAACATCACCACACAGACTCATGCGATTTTCTGAAGCCCCACCCGGAGGATGCCTTGTCTGGTCCAGCAGCTCCTTCTCTTTTGCCTGTGAGAGCCGTTGCTTCAAGGCTGGCGGCTAGTTGCATGCAGCTTGTATGTCGCTCAATCTACTCAATCCACGGTAACTGTGGCCGATGCGCCTTGCTGGACACTGACACCAGTAAGGAAGGCTCAAGACCAACCGCTTGGAGTATTTCTGGAGGTCAACATTGTAACAAATGCCAGCAGGAGACAAGTGTTCTCCGTCAACAAATTCCATGGCGTCCCCCCTAACGAATGGCATGCAAATTCATTATCTGAAAGAGTCTGAAAGAGTGCGCGGAACCATTGTCCAGAACCAAGCATCATTGACATCACAGCCCTCAGGAACAGCATGTCAGAGGTTCCAAAACCGGGACTGTTAGCATTGATGAGAAACGAGGTGCTCATTGAGGCGGGTTCAGAAGGCGCCGAGAGACGGAAGAACATACACTACACACGCCTACAGTCCTTCCTGCGTGACAAAAAATAGAAAAATGCGCACATTACAAATTTACATGTATGTATGTGTATATATATATGTATATGTAGTCACCCCACACGGTCCTGCCAAAGAAGCGGTATTACTGACGCTCAATAATTTTCTAAACATGGGTCGGCTGTCCGCTGCATAAAGAATTATGCTAACTGCCGAGTTCCTATACTGACTTGGCATTTCATGCCATTGTATTAAACAGCTTGTGAGTTAAAGCACAAGTTTATGCTACGTTCTGAAAAGAACTCAAAAGTAAGTAAAAGCTGAAGATTGTCTGTTGATGAAAACAAATTGCCGTAACACATGTAATACGCCGCGAACTACATGGATTCAACGAACTGAAGACATTTAATGTCATGCGCTGAATGAAACATACTCGCTTCAAGAATTAACGGACTTGCAGGTGAGTGACTGGGAAGAAAGCTAGCAGGCGTACTCCCCATTTACCCTTAGTCACCTTAGTCAAAGATTCCAGCGTAAGGGTGGTACGAGCCCACCCTTGATCATGTACTCCTCAATGAAATCCCAAACCCGAAGCCCTAGACCCCCCAAACCCTACTTGCCGAAGCTTCAGCTTCCCACAACCGAAGACTTAAAATGCTCTCTGTTCCCTTCTTCATTTGAGGGGGTAGAAGGTGCAGCTCCTGTTTGCTCAGGAGTCTTGAGTGACAAGCTTTTTGGGAGACGATCGGCAAGCTAAGCTTTATCCCCAAGTGCTCTCAATCATACAATGTGACTTGCGTTTGAAAATAGCCCATATCTACGAATGAGGGAACGGGGGCCGCTGTGAGGCCAAAGTGTTCATCACTTTTCGATGCTGGAGCTCATATGCTGCATAGAGATGCTCCCTAGTGCTCTCTGCTTTCCCCCCACCACTAAACCCCAATGACGCACCACTCTGGAACAAAGAAGCGAAAAAGGCTGTTCCTAAGCATATATATATATATATATGTATGCACTATTTCTTTAATCTGGACTTCGTTTCGATCGTCAAGACCATGCTTTACGCCGCCTGCTATGATTGGTCTTTATGCTACAGTCACAACTGTCATACGAACTCGCTGTGTGTGTTTATGCTTCGATTTGAGAGAACTCAATTTCTGTCTGTTTCCATTCTTGAAGAATGCTCTCCGGTAAGACGTGGCCCGCAGGGAACGAATAAGTCGACAACAAAACAACCAACGATAACAAAACAACTAAAAAGGCATGAAATCACGAACCATTGTTGTTTTGGGATGTGACAGACAGATCTAGAAGCAGGAGTAAGAATCTCGGTTGTAGCTATTCTCCCCCGTGCAATTAGTCCTCGTACATTAGAAAGGCATATCCTGGGTCAAAAGTGCGACTTCTCTTGAGGCTCAAAAGGCGAGTCAACATGAACCTGCTGATGCTGACTTGAAACTGTAGCTTGCTCACAGGCTTTACTTCAATCTGCTCATTGTCCTTGGATTTCAAGCAGCGAACTACATTTAACGACAGCTTCGAGCAGTTGGTTTTTAGGGCAAACGGCCTCCCAAACAAGGTGTCAAATGTGCGACTGGAACTCATAGAATAATACTAAGTTCTAACTGCAAGTCACACCACTGAGTCACTAAGTTGATTCTCAGAAGGGGAGGCCAGCTATAGTTCCTAAATTGCTTATACGATTAACCGGTGTAATTTCCACTCATGTAAACGATGCAAGAATATGCACATGACTCAACAAATTGTACCCGTTGTTCAGTGGTCAACTCGAGCTTCCGGACCCCCCCATGCCGAACAATATGTAGCACGTATCCTGTCTATGGCAGCGGTATCAATTACTATCTTTCATTCTTTAAATTGGGGGCTGGGGAGGAGGTGAATGTAATAGGGGAGCATATGCATATAACATATACATGTGTATACATATATATATATATATATTGACTTAGGTCTTGCACCTTGGCAGCACCATCCGCACTTGCCGCGTCCAGCTTCTCCTATGTGCACTGCATGCCGACACTTGGCTCTGTATGGCACTTGCACCGCAAGCTGGACATCTGCGGGGTTCAGAGGCGCAGTGTTGCACTCCACTGCATCCTCTACAGTCATGCATGTTTGGAACGAGGAGGTCCTTCAACGCAGACTTCGTATTGTAGAACTCCGCACGCTGCCTTGACAGAGCAGCGTGCAAGTTTGTCGCAGGTAGGCATCTGTGTCAAAGCTGTTCACAAGAGGACCTTCTGCTCAAGGGAAAACCCCGATCCCGAAAGCCCTCCAGGGTTGGGTTCTCGCAATTGGGAGTAGAGAACCCGCCTGATGACGGCTCCAGGGACCCGGCCGATCACAGTTCTCCATATGCTGCTTCTGCTTCATCCGAGCCTCACAGATGTTGGCTGCTGACAGCACCTGATAAAGACAGCTTCAACTTTCAACAATGACCCTGCCTCATCCAGCTGACGAGAGACAGTGTCCAACTCGATCCTGTGGCGGTCCGGTGGTGCTGCGTAGCGCTTTGTAGCGCCACAAGACAGAGAGCAGCTTGAAAGCTTTGCCTAAGCTGGCGCTTTCTTTCGTCCAGCTCATCAATTTCTTTGTCGATGCCAGCCCGCACCTCTCCATATGGATTGGGAATGACAGCATAAAGTGAAGTACTCAGCCTGCCTCATCCATGTGCTGAAGCTGCAGCTTTATGCCGTCTTGTGACTGGTTGAGCTCTCCCTGGCATCACAGGCTCTCAGCAGAGTGGAGAGCTGTGGAGTTACAGCGGGACACAGTGGGCCTCGAGGTCTTTCTGCTGGGAGGTGCAGCTTTCGGCAAAACTTTGCAGACCAGCCATGCGTGCCTGCGAGGCCCAAAAGTGATGGGAACACCGGTGGAAGTCTGAGAAGCTCAGGACCAAACCTGAATCTGCTGCTGGAGTCCCTGAAGGTCTTGCTCTCGCAGATGCCTCACCTGCGCGGCTGCACATTGGATATGGCCTCCTGTAGGTCAGATTCTTCTCAGACTGCATCTGATGTTTCAGCTGGAGAGCGGATGATGCTTGCCTCATCCCGCTGTGCTTGAGACGTCTGCAAGTTCTGCCGGACGGCATCGTAGGTTCGCAACCTATCGAGGCCCCTCCGAAGTCAAAGGCGGCAGGATCGTCAGTCTAAGTCCGGAGCAGGTGTGAAGAAGTGTCTACACCTGATGGGATTGACGAGATTGACGAATTAAAGTTGGCTTGTGCCGTGCAAGAATCCGAGAAGTTCAAGGCAGCAAGTTCTTAGGCTCTTCAGGAGCGGCGGATCGCGACGGAGAATGCCTGAATTTGTCTGAGGTTTCGGCGCTTCCTATTTTGTTCGTCGGTGCCTCCGGTTTCCAGCTGCTTCAGCTCCTTAGCTGCGCTTGCATGGGAAAGGGTTTGTGAAGCAACGCGCAGCAGCAAGTTGGGCTTGTGGGCCTGTTTCAGGAACTCTGCCCGCAATGCTAACTCCTGCAACGACTGAAGAGTGAATCGACCAGACGGCGAACGGCAGCGAACGGTAGAGCACTTGGCCTTACGTTCGCTGTAGAGTACCTCTTCGCTCCTGGCAAAGGTCTCTCATGGGCTCCCACAGCATACACAGCCGTCTGCCGTCCCCTCCCCCCCCCCTAAACTCACATAATAACTCTATATAGGGATCTATAGGGTACGCTGTGGAGAGGTTTGCCTTTTGGTCGAAGCCAACTTTGTCGTTCCGCAACTTTTGTCGCTCGACCATGGCAGGGGCCCGAAAGGGCCCCCGTCGAATTCGGCATACGGAGACATTCTTTTCTACCCGAACTGCCGCGCACCTCAACTTTGTAGGGCCAGTCTCTCGAACTTGTCTCTCATTAGTCTCTCTATCCATCATTCAGTCACTCAGAAGGGGTTTCCCCATCAGATGCTTCTGCATCCTCATCTTCCTCAACAGCCTCATCTTCTGATGGTGTCAAAGGCAAAGCGACACCACGTCCGAAGGCAGTTTCACAAGCATTCTCAGGATCTTGGCCCGGTGGTCGTTCAGGACTCTCCAGTTTCAAAGGAGCGGCCTCCTCCACAGTCACGCCGGTCACGCCGGTCACGCCAGTCACGCCAGTCATGCTGTCGCGTTGTGCTTGAATCTTGGACATGGCATAGAGAAGGATGCAGGCAGTGCTTGCAGTCCACGCTGCCAAGACCTGAAGGGTCAACCTCAGCCGGTGAGGCAAGCAGTCACTGAATCACTGAACCAAAGCACCTGACCATATCTGGACTCTAGATCACCCGAAGACAAGGCACGTAGCTGAGCCTGTGTACACTGCATATCCATAGCAGAAGCCCAAGTAAATGGGCACGCACAGAGATTTTGCGATAGCCCCAAGCTTCTTCACCATCAGCGCGGTGGTGAGGCCGCTTGCGACGTACGAGAACAGCAGCACCAGCACGCGCCAGTGCCCGAAGCCCTGTGTCAACGCCGACAGAGGCATGCCATGCCTAGGTCAGTGCTCAACATGTAGCAAATCATATCTAAGGTCGAGTGATTCAACAATGCAACGCCAGCCAAGAGCAAATATTACTTGAGTCCAGGGGACTGTGGGAGGGCACTTTTTGGCTATTTTGTCTTGTTTAGCGCCTCTCGTGTTCAAAATTTGTGCAAAACATCACAGATGACAACATTCATTTGTCATTCATCTGTTGAATATCTGTAGTCCTAGCAAGCTCTGGCTTTTGCTCATGGGGGGGTGGGAGTGAGGGTGAACGCTTGCCGACCATTTCCTTTTTTATTGCTGTCATTGCCTCGGTCGTTTCAATTCATGATTCCTTTTCATTTCGTACCCAAAGGACGGTTACTCCAGTCCGAGATCAGCAAAGCCCATACGAATACGAGAACATCTCTGAAAATAGGGAACTCCAAAAGGTGACTTGCTTATGAATACCCGAAACCGGCCTTGCGGACATGTTGATTTAGTGTTCATAGCGCACATCCTTGTGCAACTGTCTTGCCAGGACTCACACAAAGTCTCTGACTTTAGTTGAAACTCAGCAAAAATGAGCAATATCCAGGCGTATAAACAAAATATTTGTATATATTTCTATATAGCTAACCCATCCCAGTGAAAGAATTCACCTGTCATGATATAGATGAATACAGGTAGGATCCTACTAGACCTTGAGATCCTAGACAATAGCAGTTGTCAGATAAGCTTAAGGAGGTCTTCATAGCTGAATGTACATGGAAGGTATGATCCCGCTGTGTATTCCAGTGAGGATCAGAGTGTCCGCAACGATTGAACTAAGAGACTCAATACTGCAAAATCCTACGAATCGAATTTGATTGCAACAACTATCGCTACATATCGAAAAAGTAATTAAATTAGCAATCATTCGCCTATTTGTAGGAACTATCGTGTCTTGAATTAAGATTCCAAAGTATCCTTGATCCAGTGATTTTCCTACTACATTTCAAAAGTTTCTGTTGCATTTTAGTATAGCACTTCACCTCATCTTATCTGAAAGGCGAGCACAGTGAATTGTATACTAACATCTTATCTTGGGGCATTGGAACAGTCGTATGATTATATAGATATATACAGATATCAGCACGCGCATCAGTTTATCAATGTTCAGTATATGTTTACATGAAACTATCATAAACAACATAACAGCGCAAGGATGTATGGTTTATATTTTTATCACAGGGATAAAAACAGCACACGCTCAATACATGTAAGAAGTGTCCGAGTAGCTGTCCTTCGGTAACTAATTCTCCTCCTTCCTCGTGATTGCGCAACTCGATGGCAAGTGTCTTCGCGCCAAACAAAGAACGTGTGTGTGTGTGTGTGTGTGTCGAATGTCTTGGGGAGAATTCGTCCAAATAGAACGCAGCGCCACGCGAGAGTTCCACACAAGCGACACTGTCACAATGGCCGTCCTTTTTGCCCGAGACGCAGCGCACGCGCGCGCGCGCGCGCGGCATCGTTCTAGTGGATATCCTTGTGGAAGAAAACCCAAAACACCAAAAACAACAATTTCTCGGAACTCTTGCCGTTTGGGCACTCTGATTGAAGAGTCTCAGCCAGATTTGTTTGTTGTTTTGTTCTTTTGTTTGTTTGTTGTTTTGGCGTTTTGCCAAGAGTGCGGGAATGCCTGTGTAGCTGTCCTCCTTTTGCAAGGGTGCTCCTAAACACACAACCAAAGCACCATCTTCCCGGGTTGATTTTCGTTGTTTTTTGTTTGTATGTATGGTTTTCCGTATATATGGGACACCATGGTAGACGAAAATAGCAAAAAGCGCCCTCCCACGGTCCCCTGTTTTGTATTTCTTCTCTGCAGCAGGAGGGCACGAACCTCAACGTCAGCAGGCTTAAAGTCATTGCGGCCAGGCTCATCCAGCTTTGCTGGACCATAAATGGAATTCCTGGCCGATTTGTGAGCAGCTGCTCCTGAGCAAGCCAAGCATCTCATTAACCGTCTGTCAGATTAAGACCCTAGTCTAAGACGAAAACCGTTGACTCCCAGCAGTTTCTCACAATCAGCATGCTTCCTGGATGTTTCACAAGTCGCAGCTTCGGGACCCTGGACTTTAAGACCTTAGGCTTTGACGCTTTACGGGGCTTCAAGGGGCTGTAGGTTCTTCCCTGCTTGGCTACGACGGTCCTGCAGAACGGCCGCGAGCGACGTGAGAAAGACGGCGGTAGATCGTTCCGCCAGGCCCAAGTACCAAGACATCGAAGCCGACGTTGGGCTCCTGCAGGCAGAGTCGCCACAACGGCTTGTGAGATGCGACTCCTGGAAGCTTGCTACGAGTGACAAGCAGCAAGATAGTAAGATGTGAAATCGAGCTCTCATCTACTACAGCTTCGTCGACCACCTTACCTTGCGACTTTGGCCAGTGTGGCTGCCTCGCGTGCTTGGACCTCAGGCAAAGTTTTAAACCCCGACAAGAAGCAGATTTAGCGGCTACAGTAGCACCATCACGAAACTTATTCAACTCATGGTTCATTGCGGCTCAGCGACTTCAGATCGGCAGAAAAACATGGTCGCCACCGCCACTGCCGTCACCAGGGAGTACTGCCTCAAGATGGTTGAACCTCCCTACCTCCTCCATGCCTTCGAAAAACTATCACCGGGCCCGCTGCTGCAGAGTTTCTTGAATTTCTTGATGGCTACAGCTGAGTCGCATTCGGCTCTGGCCCTTCTTCAGGACAAGCCTGGATAACAACACAGTCAGGATGATGGCCAGCGCCTCCAGGAGGAATTGCGGAAAACTGCGCTCGGCTCTCTATGCCCTTGAATCTTTTTCAACAACACTTCATTCGGAATCGCTTTGTTTCTTTTGTCTGGCATTGTGACAATGAAAGAAGGAATGCCACATGCAAAATACCTAGCAAACTCAGAACATAATGGCCCTTACTGCTGAGACGAGACGTTCATCAGTATTCGCGAGATGGCATCGATGACAGGATGGTTGGTTTGATCATCGCAGTGAGGGAGGAGGCGGGTGCGCGAAGGGGGGGCGGGGTGGAGGGTGGATTGAGCCCCCCCTTCCCCGTGAGCACCTTCAAAGGAGGGAGATATGTGCACCAGCAACCATTTCCTGCCATTCAATTGATGCCTGTAACTCGGAAGATCTTGTTACGAGGTTGTGTCTACAGGAGTCTACACATATCCTCCGATGTTCTTCCCGTCCTAGATGAAATCGATACTACATGCCATAATTATGATGTTTTGACCAGAACCTCTCCCTGTCTTAGACTTTTGGCTCGTCGAGACCACTCCCTTGAATAAGAGGCGCAAGGACTCTCCACGGAGAGGTTGCAGCTTGGGAATTGTGGGGTCAATTTCTTCTATTAGGCTAGATTGGGCCAAAACAATGAAACGCAAGACTGCAGGGGGGAGGCAAGGAACCAAGGGTAAACAAAACTGGCGGTGGAGGAGGGTCAAACACTCTCCAACCTGAGTCAGACGTACTGGGCCGACCGTGTAGGAAGCACATCAATAAACATGCGTGCGAAATTTTCGTTTGACATTTACACATATAAACCAACAAGTACAGATTACAACCTGCTATGGCGAATGTCCAAAACATTAAGCATTGTCCGCCGACCCCAGCTTTGAGCGGGGGAGGCGCTAGTGAAGACTCCATGGCGTCGGCGTAACCCCGCACTTTAAGCTGATTTTAAAGGGCCCCAGTCCGTGCCCCGCCCTTCCCGCCCTTCCCGCCCTTCCCGCCCTTTTCGCCCGCTCCGCCCGCCATTCACCACCAACCCCTTCCCCTGCCCCTCCCACTACCCTTCCCCTTCCCAACCATTCCACTGTTTCAGGGCCAATCCACGCCCGGCCTTCCCCCCGGCACCCCCAATCCACCCCGCCCCTCACCCTCCCACCACCAACCACCCTTCCCCTTCCCAACCATTCCACTCCATCCTCCTCCCCTACCCCTTCCCCATTATTCGATCAGATGACTGACTTTAAAGACTGACTTTAAAGGGCTCCAGTGAATGCCCGCCCCCTCCGCCCCCTCCGCACTCGATCAGATGACTGACTTTAAAGACTGGCTTTAAAGGGCTCCAGTGCATGCCCGCCCCCTCCGCCCCCTCCGCTCCCCCACCCCCCTTCCCTCCCACCCCCCCCCCCACCCCCCACCCCACCCCCCCCCCCCCCCCCCACCCCACCCCCCCCCCCCCCCACCCCCCCCACCCCGCCACCCGCCCCCCCACCCCCACACACACACACACAGAAAACGAAGCCTAAGCCTTAAATCCTAAACCCCAAACCCGACAATGGCGGTTGAACTCAGATCCAGCTCTCCATAGCAGAGTCTGGGGGACCGCTTACTGTTGGCTCGTGCGGACTGGGGGAGTAAGATGCCATATGTGCCCTATGTATACCCTTTAAGGGAGGGTTAGGGTTTGGGGTTTAGGATTTCGAGTTTAGGGTTTAGGGGTTAGGGTTTAGGGTTTAGGGTTTCTTAAGGCTTTAGAGTTAGGAGTTTAGGGGTTTAGGGTTTAAGGTTTAGGGTTTAGGCGTTTAGGGTTTAGGGTTTAGGGTTTCGAGTGGCCTTGTTCCAGTTCAAATTGAGGAGATGCTTGGCCGACAGATATTGCACAGCGGTCGCGGATGGCCTCTCAGCACACTACCGACTTAGCCCTCCTAATGCCCTTGAAACCCTGAACGCTCAACCCTAAGCCCTAAACCCTAAGCCCTAAACCCTAGGCCCTAAACCCGAAACCCTAAACCCTAAACCGTAGACCGCTCACTCTCCTCCTGCCTCTGCGAATTCGTCGAAAGATGGCCTGCCATCCTTGTTCTTGTCCGGTTTGCGCGGAGCATCAGGTTGAGGGGTCGGCGGCACTGGCGGTAGCCATTAAATCCGGCCCCCGCGCCGCCCGTGGTCCAGGGCGGAGCCCGCGTCGCACTAAAGCGCTAGCTTTAAGGGGCGAGCGCCCGAGCCGCCGACCCCGCCCAAAATTGCTTCAAATTCGCGCGGGGCCCTTCGGGAGGCCTCCAAAACGGCATCCAAGGGGACGCAACACGCGGTGGTGCGAAAAGCACGAAAACCTCGTAAAAACCATGGGTTTTAACGAAAAACCGAGGCCACAAAACACCCGCAGCACCCCATTAAACCCTCACGGGCGCGCATCATCGGCCCTAGCTTTTCACATGGGGCGCGGGCCAGGCCGAAACCACGTTTTTCAAGGTTTGGGGGGGGTACCGGAAGCCCAAAACCAGGCGAGCATCATGAGCATCAGCAGCCCTGGCCCGCGGGCCCAAGGCAAGAAAAAACGCTGAAAAACGCTGAAATCACCGTAAATACCGTGTTTTTATGAGGTTTTTCACGCGTGCCTCCGACCCCCACCCCTGTTGCCCTTGACCCGCCCCCAAAGTGCGCATCATCGAAACCCACGTCCGGGGGGGGGTCTGCTGATGCTGCTGATGCGTGGGGGTCCGGCGCATCATCGAGCCATCGCTTCTCATGGGCTTCGTGGGGGGGTCCGGGCCGACGGCCCAGAGACCCAGCTGATGCTCATGATGCTCGGTTTGGGGGGGGTTCCAACAGCAGAAAACCTCGTAAATACCGAGTGTTTTGTGGGTCCACGTAAAAACGCCCCTAAAATCGCTCATTTTACGCGCTCGAACGGCTTCGTGCCTACAAAACACCCGAACAGCAGGACCCCGAATGCCCTTAAGGGCATTCGGGGTCTTGCTTTTGGGGGTTTCGTGGGCACGCAAGCGTTCAAGCACATACAATCGGCGTGTTTAAGGGGGTTTTGGATGGCCTGGGGGAGGCCGCTGATGCTCATGATGCTCCCTTTCCTGGGTCCCAAAAGGCTTCCCAAGCCCAAAAACACGTGTTTACAGCGTTTTCTGAAGGTTTTTCGAAGGCAAAACGCATGCATAGAATGCGTTTAAGGCCCCCAAACCAACCCCACTGATGCTCCTGATGCGGGTGCGCGCGCGCGCGCGCGCGCGCGGGGGGGAGGGAGGGGTGGCGAAGGCAGGAGAAAGAGAGACAGAGAGAAGGAGAGGACAAAGACACGGGAAAGAGAAGACAGTGCCAAGGTTCAAGGTTTCGTGCTTTGGGGGGCGGGGGCCGGCCCGTGCCGCTAGGCCTGAAATATGTTGTGTGTATATACATGTGTATATATATATATATATACACATAGATAATAAAAACATACATCCGTACATACATCCGTACATACATACATACATACATACATACATACATACATGCATACATTACATACATGACATACATTGCGTACATGACATACAGTACATACATTACATGCATTATATACTTTACATACTTTACACACATTACACACGTTACACACATTGCACACATTACACACATACATACATGCATGCATGCATGCATACATACATACATACATACATACATACACACATACATGGATACATATGTGCAATATTATATACACATAGTTATATATATATATATATATATACATACACGGGTACATGCGATGCATGTACGCATGGATGTACCCATGGTGAGTTGTGTCTCGCTGGGGCCTTTCCAACCAGGCTGAAGGTGCCCACATCTAGGTGCTCGATCGACATGAAGCTGAGCCTGATTTGAAGGCACAAAGCACGCCTTTCTGGGCTGTTCATGCGTGTGTGCAGCGCCTGCACCAACTACAACTTCAGGCCAGTCGAGGACAAAAACTTCGTCCTCAAATAGCAGCCAAGCTGCATGTCGCCAGCCACGAACAACGAAGTTGTGATGAAAAAGCGCCACACCATATCCGGGCGCCATCTAGGTGAAATGCGAAGAACATGCACTTGATTTGTTGGCGACTGCTGCAGCAATCTGAAGAAAGACTGTCAATCACTAACTTTGGCAATGACATGCGTACAGTGGGTTCTACGAAAGGCAATTCCATCAAGTGCTGTCGAAAGCCCAGCCGCCACCATACATTTTGAGGCAAGAGCGCTTTTCCGAGTTCGGTTTCTCAATCTTTTCCCGAACAATACGATGGCGGAAACGGAAGCTGTGCTTTTGGAATAGGGCGTCACGTCTTGGGTGGGATCAACAAAGCACGATAACCACATCGCTTCGTTCGACACGCTGTATCTCCAAGATAGGAAGCCTGGGCTTTTATTAAGATCGATGAAGTCCAGGCGGCAGAAGCTCAAGACTCTTGGAGCCTTGGGTCAGAGCCCAGCATAGGCCGACAAAGGCATCGATCGCCCAGGCGTTGAAGACCAGTGCTGGTACGAAGAAGGGGAAACTCCCAGAATGGCCTCGCTTCACCTTAAGAGTGGAGAGGAGTATGCAGTGTTAGAGATGCGTGTGCTTGTATTTGAGTCGACTCTCCGTGGGCTCCGCACCCAATCAAAGAGGATGGGTCCCATGGTGCTCAAGACGACGAAGATGCAGCAGAGACATGCCTGAAGGACACCGACACAAAGGAACTCTCCCAGAAATGCTCCGATCTGTGCAGCGCTGCGTGTGTCCTAGCCCAGCCTTCCGCACTAGCAGCCCTCCAAGCCCGCCAAAGCGGCTGTTGCGAGGGTGTCCAGGACTGCCTTTGCCTCGAGGCTCGGGAGATTTTGTCATATTTTGTCTCTTCCCACGTAGTTCCCAGGCAGTTCCCAGGCGGCAGTTCCCAAGTTTTCCAAAAAGTTCCACGGAAGCGCCTGGCTCTGCCTGCCTGGTGTGTGCTTGGAAGGGCCGCCGCGGCAGCAGCATGGACGAACATCCTTCTTCGGGCACGTGCTCGCGGCAACAAGCGCGGTGTGAAAAGAAGAGGGTTACTGCCATTGTTAGCCATCTAGAGACACGCTCCTGCGATCTATGCCTCCGCATTGCACAATCAGCTCAAGATCAGCTCAAGATCAATGCAAGGTCAGCTCCTTCAGCTTGCAACCGGCAAGCGCCCGGAGCAGTCCACGGGCTTCCCTGCAGGTCTTTTCTCGCAGGACTTTTCTACGCACGCATTCACGCGCACGCATTCACGCACTTCAGGCGCGTTCACACACGACCACGATCACGCATACCGGCAGATCACGCGCCTGTCTTGCCAGGGAGGTGCTCGCCACAAAACACCTGAGCTCAGCCCAGCCCACAGAAGCAGAGATGGGTAAAAACACGAAACAGAGGTCACCGTGTACTTGGCAACTCCTGATGATCAATGCAATCCGCTGCGATTCGAGAAAGGTCGTCAAGTCGCAGAACGAATTTGAAGAGGTGCAATTATGGGCCGCACATGGCAAAGACTCAATGTTCTCAATAATCACGTCATGACACAAGGCCCAACGTGACGCCAAAGCCTGTCGCTTGCCACGCCGCTTCGTGCTCATCACACCGGCATGCCGGCACCCGGGCTAAGGCCAGGGGCTTCGTGCTGTCCAGTCCATGCTTTCAATTCGAGTTATCAAAATGTTGGAATGTCTTGCAGTGCAATGAGTTTTCGTTGCTGCCTTTTTTGGCTTGAAGTCGAACTTTATGTTGGACTTTTTCGACATTGAATACCTAGCTTCAAGTGGCTGAGCTTTGAGGCTGTACTGTTACAGCATCTTCGTCCCTCCAATAACGAGCCAGCCGGATAAAGAGCATTCAGAACAACCAGGCTGATAGGGGAGAATGGGTGTGCACGTGTGGCAACCTTTTGACTCAACGAGCCAGTTGGACCAGTCCATTTTCATGGCGGTGATGGCGGTGGTGATCCAAGCTGTCTGGTCCTCCCCTGAGTGCACTTCATGTGGGATACAGTGCCCTTGCTGCTTCGCCAAAACAAGCAGCCTGGAAGCCCCCCACTCATCGCCACCTGAATTGAGGGGTGTCGACTCTCTTGCCATGCGGCCACTTTTGTTGCGAACGATCTCAGGATGCGTGCACGAAGCAGTCCTTGCCACTGAGCAGCCGGAAACCTGAACAAAAAGTCTGCGGACAAAAGTGTCCAAGCAACGACTGCGTAGATCTGCATAGGTCGCGGGACCCTCCAAGCGCTCGGCGCTAAAGTTTTGGACAAGAGCTCGTAAAGGCATGCCTCAGCGAACTGCACTGACATCCGAACCACGAGACCCGATGCGAGGCGATGTCGATCGGTGGCATCGGCGTCTCGAGGCTTGAAAGCCATCATCAGACGTCATCAGACCGGAATCAGTTCGGGAAGTGTTGTGCAAGCGTAGTCGTCTCGGGCACGGCTTTCGGCTTGCCTTGCGGAACATCCCACATGGGTGCATCGCGTGATGAAGCGTGAGGGGCTACAGGATCCACAGGGTCCTGTGTGACTTGGCGTCCTGTCGACTGTCGATCCTGTCGGCTCCTTGCGCGTGCCCAATGTTTCCCAGCCTGCATTCATTGTTCCTGTCGTACATTATTTGAAGGCATCACACTGTGTGAGCTGCCAAGACACGAAATCCAACTCATCGAAGCCGGAGCTAGAAAGCTTGCATGTTTGACATCTGGTGATACCGGTCATTTGGTTGTGGACATTGATGAGGCCTGTAGTTGGCGCAACATCATGCTTGATGCGCTCGCTGGTCCAGAAGCCGATGCGAAATGCTTTTATCTATCTGCACAAGACCTCAACGAATCTGATGGTGGGCAACGTATTTCTCATGCTGAGGAAGGAGCGACAGCAGAGGTCTTATCGTCCGGCGTGGGCGGGTCCATGTAGTGCTGCAAAGACAAAAAATGAGCCGTAGACGGCACAAGAATATGGAACACAACAATCAAATATGATCCTTTTTTGCACTGTGTGCCTCGCGCAGGGAAGGCTCAGAAACGATGACCTGACAAGCATCACGGCGAGAAATTGTTTGCCACGAACTTCCAAAAGGCCGCCGACAACAGCGCACCTCTATTGAATGCTCTAGGGCACGACTCTGCAGGAACATCTCCTGTCTACATTCGGAAAAAAAAGGACTTTTGCAATGCTCTCCGCAATGCTGATCGCTCACCGCTGTCTGAGTGGACTATCAAAAGCGTCCTTGAAGCCCAGCTCATGTTCGCCGGATACTACCTCGGTATATGCATCTGTATGACACCCGACACTCTATAGAAGTGCAACTTGAAACCCTGTCTTCTGAGGTGCGAGCACGTGGTCCCTCCTTGTTGCTGGCTGCAATGATGCTCTGGACCCATGACTCGGCAGGCACTTAGTGAGCTGAGTAGCTGAGTGAACTCCCGTCCAGTCAGAACCTCACAACATTTGATACCGATTGATACCCCCCCCAGTCCACAGCCTTGTGCATCTCAACAATTCCCACCACAGTACCTCGACGACATCGAACTGAAATGCCAGACGATGCGCCGCACCAAGCGCATTCTTACTTCAGCGAGCGCACGGGTAGACTTGGCTCGGTTTTCGAGCTGTGCCTCAAACTCGATGGCATTTGCAGGTCGACCTCGCAATGCTGAGGACTATTATACACCTGCGCAGACGCAAAAAATCGAAACACGCCAAAGGCTTGGAAAGTTGAAGCTGCAAAGTGGCCAATCTTTTCGCGGGCCCGCTTTACACCTTCAGCGGCAGAAGCAACGACCACACTTGTCCTTTCCTTGCAGGGACAGGCTTGGATTTGGAAAGCATTGAAATTGGTGCCCACACCCCAGCTGATTGTCAGTGGTTTCAGGCTTTAGCGGTAAGAATATGGCGAACAAGACTGATATCAAGGAACCATGCCGATTGTGTCACTTGCATCATGCGATCATCTGAATAATTGTTGCCACTAAGGGGGCTCCGCCTATGCTGCACAGAGAGAGCAAATGGCCCGATATCCTCGTAATCGTCCAGAGGTTTGGATGTTCTGTTGGTATCGAAGCTTTCACTTCTCCATTTGCTGTCATTTGGGCACGCTGCGTCTAATGGAGGGAGAGAGACCAAAACAGAATCCGTACTCCATGCTCTTGCACGGCAGTTCACATCCTCGGTGCACATGGTGCGCTCGTCTCAATCGTGCCATGGCATGGGGGCCGTGTGTTGTCTCTCGAGCCTGTCTGGGACCTCCTCTGCAGTGTCTCCCTGCCCTTCAATCCCGCTTCTGTGCAACAGTCTGGGGGATTAAGCCTTGCCTGCCTTGATCAGCATAAAATGAAAGTCAATGAGACGAGACTTATACTGTACGCACACAAGTTGTCACATGTTCCTTGGCTCATGCAACCCAAAAGCATCCTCCGCCCTCTGACCTTGTGTCGCAGTCGAATGCCTGATTTCAACTGCCGGCCCTTTTGCTGCACCACGCCCTGTTTGCTCGGAGATTCTTGAGTGAGGCCGGAAACCGAGGCTCCTTGCTGGCTCGCAATCAATCCTTCCATCCTTCATAAGCTATCTCACGCCGAAACTTCGCCTCGCTGGGCCTCCGGGAACAGACCAGGATCTGGTCTCCTTCCCCCTCGGACATAACCCCCTAAAGGCTTCCGCTCCCAGGACCCTCTTTACGACTGTGTTGGGACCCCTCCCTGCAACTCATGAGACACTTGGGAGAGCCCGCAACTTCCCTTCTGGTAAAACGCAAGCCTCCCTTTTATACGTCCCCTGGCCAGTGTGCTGCTGGTGGCAAAATTAAAATTTCGGGCTTAGTGGTCGCTCTCCATATCTGCAACCCAACCTCGTGGACTGGCAACACCGAATGTGCGCCGCTTGTGCCGTCGACATGCGTGTCCGGTGGATTGGGCGGGCTGGCTGCCGAGGCGGCACGCGCGAGCGTTTACAATTCAAGTCCACAGATTTGCAGCGCTTGACTTGCAAGCAACTTTGCACATTTCAGCAAATCACAGCACCACAGACATCGCGAAACTACTCAAGCCAGGTGCCTGAAGTCGTTGGAATCTTTCACTGTGCTTTATTGCCTGGCATGGTCACAGAAGCTTTGCAGCCTGTGTCACCCTCAATCCAAAACCCTCCTGGACTCCTGTACCAACGGCAACCTCTGCAATGCATCGGGTGCCTCAGCCTTCTCGCCAACTTTACTCACTGCTGTTTTCAGCCAGGACATCGCTGCGAGAGGAAGTCTTCGGTAATTTTGATCGACTGGCCAATACCGGGTATGTACCATTTTGGGATTCTGGGCTGAGCTGTTGTAAAAACAAGCGCTATGCTGCGCCATGCATGGCTTACAGGTTGTGACAGCTTCTGCGAGACATCGCTATTCATCGTAATCATGCTTGCATCATTCAGATAACGTTAGTCCTCAGAGTCTTCAGTGTGTGGCCGTTAGCACCACGCCCATGGCCTGCTTGTGCTTACAAAACTGCTTTAAACTGATTTAACTGTTCTGTAGTTCCAGCTGCTGAGGAACCATCAAATTAAGTGCTCTGAAGCGTTCTGACGTACCTGAGACAGAGACAAGACGTGCAGCGTTAAGTGCCGCGGGCTGCAATGGGCTGCACAAGGAGATGGGAGGAGACCTCGCAGACGAGTTGTGCGTAGCGGGGCGTCTCGATGACCTCAAAGGCCTAACAGCACCAGTCCATTCTGTATTTCGACTGCAAAACCGAGTCCTCATCGCCAACCTGCCTCCACAATCCGAGGGTGTCGCACCCTCGATAGTACTTTCATCTGCAGGCACACATCAGATGAAGAGTCGGAGTCGACATGTGGCGAGATCGCGGTTGGTCAGACTGTCCACAATGGAGCCTCTCGGTGGGCCTGGCGTTTGTCGCGCTGCCCTTGGTCGAAGACCTGCCCGCATGACGGATGGATTCTGACGGATTGGGATGGATGTTCTGCGGCCCTGTCTTCAGAGAATCCAGGCCTTCACAGCCACTCGTTGGTCATTGTCGCTACGTATTGCCTTCACAAAGCAGAGATGCGCATTCGACAGCTGGCCAGTGGCAGTACAACCCAGCGACCCAAATCTCCTGTGTGCTCAGCCGTTTGCCCTCAAAGCGTGTCCAACTGGTCAACACATAATCGGGTCCGGCATTTTGAGATTCCAGTCCAGTAATCGGTGCGCATGCAGTATGGCATGTTGTCGTGTTCAGTACACCCTTTTCCCTGCAACGGCATTCTTTTTATGTGGGTCAAGCTTTCTGAATTGAAAGGTTCGAAGAAACCCAACGGACGTTCCGGGAAGCTCAGGCAACCATTAGCAGGAGAGAAAAGATTAGAATCCCGAAGGCAATGTTGCACCATGTTGCACCAGTTTGTGAGGCCAGCAGCAGCCCTCTTAGCGACACTAAATGTGATCGGGGTGTAAAGGGTGACTGAGAGAAGTCCAACAAGTGACACGAGAGATGAAGCGGATGGCAGAAGGAATAGAAGCAGATCTTGGAAGCAAAGGCCAAAGGCCGTATTCTGGAAGACTATTGAAACAAGCCCATTATAGTTAGGAGCGCCCTTTTGGGCAAACAGCCTTGCAAAGGAAGCCTTGGCTTAAAAAGACACTTCTTATTTCCAGGAAGAGGGAGATTCAATCTTTGCACAATTGGGGGCCTAGCCGTTAACACACACACACACACACACACCAAGGTGGTGAACGTATAGGAAATTCGCACCTCCCATACACTTGCGGAGGCACCGCGGCCCAGGAATTTGGCCACAGAGTACCTCGCACATCCAGCACCAGCCGACACATGACGCACACACACACACACAACACACACACACACACAAAACACACACACACACACACACAACACAACACACACACACACACACACACGCCTCAAGGAATAACATTCAGCAAAACAACATCGCCATGACAGTCTCTCTTGGATGTCTCACGAGCCGCAGAAGATTTTGCTGCTCAAGCTCTTGAATGGCGTGGGCTGCTGATCGATGATGGACCTTGGCTCTTTTTGGCGTGGCCTTCTTGCTGTGATGTGATTTCACATGATTTTTGCACAAGCCCGCAGCATACTCATGCTCCCTGTGCTCGCACGCCGTCCCACAGCTGCAGCCGCAGCAGTGAGGATCTGCCCAGTGCTGCGTCGCGCTGCTGTGTGCCTCCCATTGCACGGCAATGCACAGGTGGTTCGTAGGCCCATAAGAGCAGGCCCAAAGTCCGCTCCTGGGGCTTGCCGCGCCCTGACCTGGCAGTGCTTGGCCTCAGGAAAAAGTCGAATGTGTGTTATGAAGATTTTTGAAGGCACTTGCCAGTAATTGCTGTTTCGCTGAGGGCATCATACGTCATACGGCAAATCAAGGATCAAGAACGAGTCTGAACGAAACGCTCGGCTGCTCACCTGGGTTGGCACCCTTTCCAGGTCCTGGTCTCTCTGCCTTCATTAACAATCAGGACAGTGATCGGTTTAAACAGAGCTGTGTGACTTTGTTGACAGGCAAACTCAAACTGGCACGGTACCGTCGGCGTGCCTCTGCCAAAGCGGGATCTGCTTCCTGACGCTGCACTGTCTGTTTTTATTTTGCAGGGACAGTGCAACATGCTGCTGTTCGCCTCCCGCCGCTCCGGCACAAAGCCTCCCTCTTGACGCCGGCGGGGATCAGCGCTGCGTGCCCGAAGGGGTGCTGGCGGTCTCGCAGGACGTCGGGCGCTCTGTGCACGTGCCAGACGTGGCCGTAATGGGGAGGTGCACCCAGTGCGAGGCACGGCCTCGCCTGGCACCACTCGAGCATCGCGGGCTTCGTTGCGAAAGTTGTACCCGTTGGGAGGTTCTCGAGATGCTCGAGGTTCTCGAAGTTCTCGCGGTTCCCGCACGTGAGGCTCCTTTAGCACCTCCTTGGGAGCCTCAGGTGGTGCACCCCAAGCCTGTCGCACGGGGGGCGTGGGCTGCCCAGGCACTGTTCGGCAGCCGATAGCGCTGTGCCGCCGTAGCCGAAACTTCTCCCCAGGCGGGTGCGCATGAGCAGCTTGCGCCGGGTGGTGGCTTGTCGCAGCTGCCACAGCTGCTGCAAGTCGAGCCGCTGCCGCAAGACCACGCTCCTCTGCGGATTCCCGATATCTCTGCTGCGGACTAGGCTTGCCTCTGTCCTCCACAGACCTCCGCCTCATGTCCTCCTGTCGCCGCATGACCAGCACGAGCAGCACCACTATGTGGTCCCTCCATGAATCCTTCCTACGGTTGCATGTGCCTTTGAGCTGAGTCGCAGTCAAGCAAAGAGAAAGTTCCGTCCAAAACGCCGTCTGTAGTGTACACATGATACATGTTTTTGACACGACATGGTGGGCAGCTGTAGCAGAAGTGCTCGATGTGCATTTTTTCTCCGAAAAGGCCGTCTTCTACATCTGGCGGGCTCTGCTACGCAAGTCGTTGCCGTCGATTCCTTTGCTGGTGGCCGAGTGTGCCAGAATCTGCAAAGAATCCAAAAAAAAACATGAAAAGCAACTCAGTTCCCGCCAACCTGCGGCTTGCTAACGTTAACACCTTTGGCCAGCGCGGGTCTCTGCTGGCTTTTCAACTACCAGTGGACATTGAAAAGGACACGCTTCCACTCCACATGCCTGTGTCTCTGAAATCAATCCCACACTTCTCACAGCACAAGCCCTATCTAAACAAAAATTGGTTTTGGCTTTGGTTTTTGGAACTCGAGCTTTGTAGAGAGGGCTAGCAAAACAACAAACACTCCGAGAACATGTGTATATAGATACATGCATTCTATGTATATGTACATGTATACGTATATGCACCCGCACACATGCATGTATCATGTGATATAACCTCTATATATATATATGCATATATACATATATATATATATATATATTCATATTCATATATTTACTTTTCTTTGAGATATATACATGTCAGGCACGGGCAATGAATTTAATACTGAAGCAGCGGATTCATTTTTCTAGTTTGTTTTTTGCCTGATTTGTGGTGTTAGACATAAGCTCATAGTTACCAATTAGCAACTCAATAATGAATACTGGCGCAAAATAGCGATTTGCATCGAATCATCCGGCCATCACCGTTAAGGTCAGCGCAACCATCTTCTTCCCCCCCCTCTCCACAAGGCATTATGTGAAAACATTACACACAACCTTTAGAAATACACAAAAAACAACATGTCTAATAATTCTACACGGTACAGACTACGTGACGGTATGTATATTGCCATATATTGCCTAAGAATGCTCTTGAAGACAAAATGTACGATACCTTTGCATATATGCCTATTTAGCTATTTCTATGTTTGTGTGAAAAACAATATACACGAATTCGAATAACAGTTTGTTGCACCACTTCTCGCCAATAATTCAACAATGCTTGTATGACGGGGTTAGAAAGGACTGATAGGTTTTTCAAGAGGAAGTACTTAACGTACACATATGCGCAGGCAAAACCACCATAAATATTGTGATGCACATGCAGTAGAAACAAGAAGCATCTAAAGCACATTAAATAGGTTTGGCTTTGCATACTATAAATACTGTGTACATCCATACGTAATACTTAGCAGTCATGAAGCATATGAAATACAAATACTATGTGTACATGCTGAACATCAAGTTATGCACGCTATAAAGAATCACTCAGGTCTCATACTCACATGCCATTCACAAGATACATAATACATGTCGCCATATCGCAAACGAAACACGAACACTGCACAAAAATATATAAAGTACATAAGCACATATATTACATGTAAGACATAGTGCATATAAGGAATGCACAATATGTAAAGATCATGCATATACTGCCTGCAATACACGAGGAATATGCAGTACGCATAGAGAGAGAGAGAGAGAGAGAGAGAGACAGAGAGCCATTCCAAACTACATGCATTTCTAACAACATGAATATAAACAATTCTGAAATACATGAACATAACACATATATATATATATATATAATATGTACATATGTATATATGTGCAATTTATATGCATGTACACACATGTGTATATATATATACATATATATATATATACATATTTACTTGTGTAAGGTTGATAATGCCTCTCTCCGGCTTTTCAAACCATAGCAACATAACACTCCATCATGTCTAGAGTCTAGAGGGCCACAGTGCCACAATGTGCCACACCAAGGCCTCAATTCTAAAAGACAAGCTTCAGCTACAAAATGCAGGTTTCGAAGCAGCCAAGCGGCCTGTTCACGATCAGGACCATGCTCGACTATCCACCTCCACCTGACAGCTTGCGTGTCACAACAAATGTAGCTTCGTTGTTTTTGAGTGCTACGCCGCCTAGCCCCCCGGCAACTTCGGACTCTAATGACAAGAGCGGACGTTCATGGCGCCATGGCGCGGGCTAGCTTTGTGGTGGACAGATCCAGTGAAAACAGAATTCAAAGTCCGCTCCCGCTGACGTGTGGGGCGCTGGCACATCTGCAACCCCTTTGCAAAGTCTTGCAGGACTTCCGCACGATGCCATCATGCCATCTCTATCTTCGGCGCCGCACCTGCAAAGCCAAGCCTCCGCACGCCGTGGGTCTCCAGAATCCAATGCAGCACTCACACGGCCAGCGCAGATCAAATGGCTGTGCCTCCCGGAGATTCATTTGATTGCACGAAGTTCCGAAGCGCAATTTGTTCTCAAAAGATCTCATATGTCATCTCTCTTTGCCTGCAGCCCGCGAGGCCCGCGTGGTTTGTGAGTGGGGCCGCTGCCGCTGCGCTTCGCCGCCTTTCCCGGACGGCACGGCCACCGAGGCCGCGTCGTAGCAGCACGGCCGCGGCCGAGCAAACTTCATCGTCGTCCCTCTGCTGGGTGTGATTCGTCAGGTTCGTCATATGTTCAGCTTTCTCATGTTCAGTTGTAAGACATTCTGAGTATATAACTTAGGGCGCGCCGCACAGGCACCTGAATAGCAATCATATCAGCCATGGAACTGAGCTGACAAACGCCCCCCAGCCAGCAAGAAGTCTCCCGCAGCTTCCAGGCACCTCTGCCGCCTCCTGCAGCAATTCTACAGCAACATATCCCGCAATAGCTTTTAAGATCGTTTAAGGGGACCCATAGAGTCACGCTCTCGTTTATATAGGTCTTGGTAACTGCGCACTGGCCCATGTTGTGCGCACATTCCATCCTGGAGGCTCTGGCTTCAGCCCTTGCTAGAAAGAAAGGCGTTAAGCTTGTTTTTCATCGATTCTGATAGTGCGAAAGCAAAAAACAACAGCACCGAATAAACACGATTTCAAAAACAAAACGGAACGGCACGATTGGCTCGACAGCCAAGAAGCCGAACACAGACAGCGAAACACTTGGAGCAAATGCAAGGAAAGAGAAGGCCAAACTAAGACCAAAGAGCCGTATGCAGCCTGCAAAGCAAACATTGAAAAACGAAATCAGGAATACTTAAAGGCCTTCGAAGCAAAACCGAAGACATGGCAAAGCTGCTCAACGAGCAAACCAAAGAACAAAATAGCACAGCACGAACACAAATCCTTAAAGCAACAGGTTTCCACAGTTCCTACGAGTAGTACCTACCCACTGGGGTCTTGTGGAGTCTCGACACTCCGGGATTCTCCTCGGAACAGCCTCAGCCAGGGCCGCGAGTCGCAGCATGGGCCAAACAGAAGCCGGCTCGGCCGCGGACACTGCGGACACCGCGGACACTGCGGTCGCCGTGGTCTGGAGCCTTCACAATGCAGAAGGTCCGAATCAGGCTGTGATTCACCGACTTCAGCTGTGGCGTGCTGGATGCATGGTGTGCAAAGCAGTGCAAAGATGTGCAAAGTGTGCGAGTCTGTCCACATGCCCGCGTCCAAGGGCTAAGCTTGCTTCTGACCAAGCCTCTGCACCCCACGCCAGTCGCCAAGCTCTGCAAAAGGACGTGCAAGCAAGATCGCTCCTTCTGAGTTTTCTGAACGCATGACTCGACAGAGTGACAGAGTGACACGCTCTTAAGTGCCGCACCTCGATTTCCCAAGCCGTCAGCAAGGTCCAATGCAGAGCCGAGGAAAGGCGCGGCGCCAGAAGCTTGTAGAGCCTGACGACCGCTTGTGCACGTCAATGCAGGTCCAGGTCGCAGGAACGCAAAACGCCTTTTTTCCACCAATCACACGGGACGAACCAGCAGGAATTGTGAGAGTACAGAACTCCGTACAGAGACCATCAAGTTTTTGGGTGCATGGAGCAGGTCGTTGCCGGAAGCAGAACTTGAACGTGGGCCGTCGCCCTGCCATCATAGCGTCATTTCTTCAACTTTTCCTCCACCACAGAAGCCTTGCCCACACCACTCCGAACCGCACTGGCCGCTTTGTGCCCCCGGCTGAACCTCTCTTGGACTGCCGTGCTCCATGACACCGGAGAAGACAGTCCGGGAATCAGTGGCGTCAGATGGCGTCAGTGACACAGCTTGTCAAGTTTTCCGTGCTTCATCTCACGGCCTGTTGGCGCCGAGACTCGACCAAGCTACGGCTACGCCACGAGCTATGCCACGTTGCTCCGCTCGATCGAGGCGAACTTCGCAGGCACCGACTCTGACGACAGGGCCGGCCGGGGGAAAGACAACTTTCTCAGGCTTTCTCAGGAGCTCCGGGACAAAGACTCCAATCGAAATACAACGACTGCACAGTGTATGATACAGTATAAGGTGTGCAAAAATACTGGGAAATTGCGTGCAAACTTGGCCTCCAGAAGCGCCGAAGGGCCGGGCTCCATGCTCAAGGAAGACATCCGGCCTCGTCAACACGGCCGTATCGGGGCATTCTCGGGCATTCGGCTCTCGGCATTCAAAGCTTTGTTAAGGGCTTCGTTTATAGGTTTATTTTTTTGTTGAATGTAGCCTGTTGGGGATGTAAAGGGTCGTGGGTTTGCGCGGCCTCTCTGGATTTCGGGTTGTGCCCCTGTCGTTTCTGCTGAGACGGTCATGGTAGGCACAGCCCTTGCCAGGTAGCACAGCCTGCGTAGTCCGCTTAAAGCACCAAGGGTGCACGCCATGAGATATGAAGGGATGGATGTGGCAAGAGCAAAAAGGGCTCTGCGCCAAGCACGGCGTCAGGCTCAGCTTGCTGCAAGGTCTTCAGTTGCTTTCGAGGTTCTGTTTCTCAGGCATCAAGTTTGGCAGCTTCAGTGGGAGAATTGTGAGCTGCACAGGCAGCTTGAACAGGTTAAGAGCCTTGAGACTCTCTGCGAGCCACTGGTGAAGGAGGCGGGCAAAGATGGTGGCGTGGAGACAGGTCTCCCGCTAGTACAGCTGCAAACTTCATGCTCTGCAGAAACACCGCTTGACATGCCGGACCAGGCAGGCAATGAGATCGGAGATTCCCTTCTTCCTGGCAAAACGGCTACAGACACACACGTGACAGAGACTCACGAGGCCTGTTTCCAAACACCTGCACGTGTGGAAGTGCAGCCCGACTTTCTGGCAGAGAGGGATGATGCTGCTCCACCTGCCACTGACGCGGGGGGTTGTTCCTCGCGGCTTCTTCCAGGCACTCGGGTGCGGATGAGGAGGGATGTTTGCGGATGGTTCGACCGTCGCAATGATTACTTCGTGGACAGTGGCTGGCAGGGATCAGTCCTCACAGCTGCTTTGCCCGAGTGGGACACTGACTGGTTCAGGCCAGATGTGCACTATGTATACGTGAAGTTTCGGCACCCTCCAGACGAACCTGAATCTGGACGATGGTGGGACACCCTCGATGTGTCGTTGCTCGCATTCGCAGCTCGCAAAGCGGGGGGTGTTGAATGTAGCCTGTTGGGGATGTAAAGGGTCGTGGGTTTGCGCGGCCTCTCTGGATTTCGGGTTGTGCCCCTGTCGTTTCTGCTGAGACGGTCATGGTAGGCACAGCCCTTGCCAGGTAGCACAGCCTGCGTAGTCCGCTTAAAGCACCAAGGGTGCACGCCATGAGATATGAAGGGATGGATGTGGCAAGAGCAAAAAGGGCTCTGCGCCAAGCACGGCGTCAGGCTCAGCTTGCTGCAAGGTCTTCAGTTGCTTTCGAGGTTCAGTTTCTCATGCATCAAGTTTGGCAGCTTCAGCGAGAAAATTGTGAGCTGCACAGGCAGCTTGAACAAATTTTAGGCTTCGCTTGGGACTTTCGCATGCGGGCGCCGATCCCAAACAGAGTAAATCCGCATACCAGAAACAAAACAGCCGTCCAGTTCCCATCAGCTACCAGAATTCAAAACATTCTGACCTTGGTGTTTGGGGCCTGCCGATTCCAAAGACACTGGCAAAGATCAAAAAAGGTCCGATGTCGTTCTCCCAACCCCAAAGTCTCCCTGCTCTTCTGGTCTTTAATTGACGCCATTGACCCCAACCGGAAGATCACAAAAGGCACAAACAACAACGCCAGAACTGCATCAGGTTTGCGGCTGGCATCAACCGTATCAACTGCGTCAGTACTGCAGCATTCTTGTCCGAAGACATTTGGAGCTTTTTGGGGTTGAGAGGCTCTCTATAAATCCTTTTCGAGTACTCCTAGATGTAATACCACCAAGTATCATGTACAGTGTACCCAAACATAACTAGCCACACACTGCGGAGTGAATCATGGGGATTGCCCTGCATGAAATCTCGTGTTGACTAGCAACTATTCATCGAACACACACACACAAACATCATTCGGGGTGTTGTGTCCGCACACTCCACGGCAAGGCTTGTTAGAGCCTAAGGGAACACGGCTGACAAAAACAGCGCGCAATTCAGAGGAGGACGCATGAGCCTTCGAGTACATGTACATATGCGCGACTGTGATAGTCTGTGCAATGCAATCGCGTGCCATGCAGCTGATGAGGCTGCAGGCGGGTGGCCAAAAGGTCCGGATTGCGCAGTTGTTGCTCCGAGCGTGTACACACATGCACATGGATGTAATTACACGGACAGATACGTGTTAAGTTACTTGCGCAAACATGCATGCGTGCACAGACACAGATGTACACACGAACACACATGCACATGTGTGCTCAGAGGCACGTCATGTGTGTACACACCGGTCTGCGCGCTCGCACCCATGTGTGGGCATGTGTCTATGCAAAGGCATGTGTCCGTGCAAAGCTTGCTGCGCACGACATGTCTGTATGCGTGCATCCGTATGTGAACATGCACAAAATATGGGTGTTTGCGCTCGCATGTGTGTGCAAACACATGCAAGTGACTCTGTACGCAAGCATTCTGCTCGCATCCACAATAGCAGCCGCGCACAGGCAGGGGCATCTGAGCACATGCACTGCGTGTGTGCGCACACACATAAGCAAAAGATGGCAGAAGCTACAGTACTCAATGTTGTTGTTGTTGCTGCATTTGATGCAAACACGAGCACATCATATCCAGGCGACGAAGGAAACGACCCACGCGTTCTGCGTCGCCGTGTCGGGCGCTGTGTCTCAGGATCCTTTGGTAGACAGCGCCGTCCACCTCAGTGCACACGGTAACCATGCCCCCTCTGCAATGCTTCTGCCATCATGATGATGCCAGTATGGGCAAGCACTGCAATGTTAAAACATTCCTTACAGCCGTCAAGGCTGAACATTCCACCATTTCCGGTTGATGCCCAGTTTGACATGATGCATGTTATATATATACACACACAGTATGCGTATAGATATGTATATACATAATGGCAGGCAGGTGGATAAGTATTCAGAAATCCGCACCCAAGCAGAGGGCACCTCCACCATGGCTGCTCGGCTGCGTTCAGCCAACTGTTCCTGAGGACCACTGCTCATGCTCGTCAGCGTAGTGATGCGAATGTGTACAGACACTTCTTCGGACGCGGGTCAGCGGCATCCAAAAAATGGCGCCTGGTCACAAATTGGGGGGCTGATCTGTCGAGACAAGGAATAGACAAGGCCTGCATTGTCGACGCACGAAGAATAGAACTCAGCTTGGTACTTGCCTTGCTCGGGTGGTGGAGAAAGATGCGGCTGTGCAAGCGGCATTGGCCGCCGCTGCAAAGCTTGCCGCATCCGGGCTTACACCATTCCTGGGTTCGATGTCAAGCTGAATCCTGGAACTGAAATGCTTGCAGAAAGTTTGCAACACGATTTTCAACATCTCGGATGGAGCAATTGTTGGTTTGCGCGGGGTTCGGACATGCCCTTGCCAAGGTGAAGTGCCTCTTGAGGTCCATAGAGAGACAGAGAGAGAGAGAGAGGCGAGACATACACTTACAGGTGTGAGAGTACACGAAGACTGGAAACACACATTTCGAGAGATGCTCGAAACCGGGAGCGGCGCTTCTCATAAAAAGTCCCTGCCCTGCTGCCCTGCTCTATTGTTCAGAGTTTTCTACAAATTTAAAGCTCGCTCTCTCTCTCTCTCTCTCTCTTTCTCTCTCTCTCTCTCTCTCTCTCTCTCTGTCTTTCGAATCATGCTCGATTTTCGCAGATCTCGAAGCGCAGAACGAAGCGCTGATTCATTCCGCTCGCCATGACCACGACCACGGCAAACTGAAATGCAGAGCATTCGTTTTTGCGGGGCTTCGCTTTTTTTGACTTCAGTGCTGTGCGACTTCAGCCTATCGAGCTTGCCCGGTGCACAGAAGCTTGAGGCTTGAGGTCTTGTGGTCATCAAGACCGATCCACGCTTTTTTCCACAACTCCCCTCTTTCGAGCTGAGGAAGCCCACCAAGACCAAAATATCCAGAGAGTCCGCGGCCGTCTGTTTTGTTGTGGCCAAGATTCAACATTCCTGCCTTGCAGCTACCGTTTGCCTTTTTGTTTATGCATTTGTTTTGCAAAAACAAGTGGATATGGGTGGACTGCAATTTGAGGGCTCTAGGCTTGTTCGGGCTCGTTTTGACGGATCCTCGGTTTCCGATCTGCGATCTTGCCTGAATCTTGCCGAAGGACGCTCGATCCATTTTTAGGCCCTTTCGAAACACTTAAATGACTTCAAGATCCTTGCCGAGAAGCAGGACTCCACACTCCATGTCCTTCAACAAAAATTCGACTCACGGAACTGCTTGGCACTTGCAGCGAGTGCAGAAGAAGAGGAGGACTCCTTTTTGTTGGACTTATTCGGTTGTGCGCAGAGTTCGGAAGCCAGCCTTGATCAGCTTGAAGGCGGATTGGAAATCTGCTTCTGCCGCATATGCTCCAAGCAAGCCGTTGTATCCAAAGACATCCACATTTACAAAAGCCTCGGCTTTGGCACTGCGAAGATTCTACCACAAATTCCATCACCAAATCAGTGCGACCCAACGAGCTGTCATGAAGAGGACTCGATTCACGATGGACCCTTTCGTTCAGAAGTTTGGACCTTCGCAATGTCCTGAAACTCAATTCTTACTGAAAGGCTGGAACCTCTGCCCAGTTCCTGAGCAACTCAAAGTGGGTGAAGGTATCCCGTGACCCTGCGGTCGCCTAACGAGCATCCAGCATTGTGTCACGATTCCGTGAGCTGTACAACTTGAAATCCTTGAAGCCATGATGTTTACTCTGATGGATCCTGCGATATCCTGCGTGCTTGGCTTGGGAATAGGTGCGGGAGAAGGTGTCACAACGGCCGCGAGAGACCTTACGCTGCCAAGGGGCAGCATGCATCCGCGTGATCCAGGCAAGCGCTCGTTTGGAGTCACCCAGTTTTGCGCAAGCACGGATCAAAATCGTGTACCTGGGAATTTTATGTGGCAAAGCCCCAAGGGCGACCCTGAGGGTAACAGATCGGAAGCATAAGCTCTATCACTCGATGTGATCCGCATATGCCTCGTCTATCCTGCTCTGACATACCGGGAAAGCTATGATGTGAGGGTATGTGATTGCCCCGTGGTGGATGCCAAGTGGCTCGCTGGTCGTTGCTTCCAAGCAGCGCACCATGTCCCGAAAGCATCTCTCTGCATCCCTGCATTGGGCAGAACAGATGCACAATCCCCTGCACTATTGGCAATGCCATTTTTAACACTAATGCAGAAGCCCACCAGAGTCCCATTGGCTACGTTTGGCTACGCTGGCTGTGTGAGCGCCGCTCGCTGCTAGGCTAGCGCTCGCTCTCTCGAGATGCTCTCTTTCGAGCCTGGCCAAGCCTTCCTTTGCAAGTGCCCTCATTGTGTACCTCAATAAAGCAAAATATGAAACTAAACGCAGAAAATGAAAGCACACATCTCCCGACTTGCGAAGCCGGAAGCCAAGTGCATCTTCAGCAAACAAACTCTCAGTTGTGCATCTGCTGCACACCAGGGCCTCACAACACATGCGCCCAGCTGCGCAAAGTATTGGACTTGCGGCACATGACCGGCTGCTTGGATACAACGAAGCCACTGGACTGCCAAACCACTCTGGCCACCCTGATCAACATGACCAAAAGCATGTTGTGCCAAAAGCTTTGACGTGCTCTGGTCGTCATCAAAGGCACCAACTTTGTCCAAGAGTCACGCTCGCAGGCAAGAAAAACCAACATCTTCTGATCCAGTCCAGCAGACTGATCCTCCAATCATGCTTGCTAATGTTGCGCAGTGCCACTTAATTCTTGAATCTAAACTGTAACTATGTAGACATAGACTTGCTCTCACCTTGCTCTGCACATAGTGACTTAGTGCCGGTCCTCATTTCTGGTGCTGGTGCCGTTCCGGAGCCAGGCCCGAAGGTGGCCCGCACGACGGCGCAAGAATCGCAGCGTCGCGCGGGGCCGGCCCTGTCGAGCGGCGGCCTGGGGACATGGGCCAAAAGATAAGGGAAGGGATGGGAAAGGTTAGAGTGTGGTAAGGGTCGGTAAGGGGGAGGAAATGCATTTCTGGAGCACGCTGGCGTCGCAATGCAATGTGCGCGCTGCGGCGTAGCCAAGGTGCCAACAATCCAGTGTCCTGATCGATGGGCCATGGTCCAGCAGCCTTGGCTGGCAGTCGCAGTAGAGTCCTGTGGTGAACATATGTGAACATGCATGCAATGATACATGGAATCTGTGATTCAAAAGGCACTTGTGCCGCAACAAACTCTTGCTTCGAAGCTTCGCCCTCGAGGCGTTGTAGCCAGAGCTCTGTTCGCAGAGGTTCTGGGCCTTGTGCCAGGCGTTGGAGCGCTTGTTGCGAGGCAGCTGCCGCATCCTCCACCACCACTGATGACGACAGCAGCTGTGACCACGCCCTGCGGTCCGGACGGGCTTCCATGTCACCGACAGAGACATGAGATGTTGTCTTATTGTCGGAACTTCAGCATCATGAGTCCAATGCTGTGTTTTGTCTGGATACCTCTCCAAGTCCCGATAGTGTCTTGCGGCATGCACTGCAAGTCGGTGTCGCAACGTCTCTGCCAGTGGCCCCGCACCATGCAAAGAAGCCAGCCACCTCAGCTCCATCATTTCCATCTCCCCACATCTCCCCACATCTCCCCACACTCCTCGGCCGACATGATGCTCTGACCTTGCTCTGGCAGCCACGTCGCTGCGTCGCCTTCTCTGCATCGGTTTGGCAAAGCAAGCGCCCCAGGACTTCTGCACCCGACGGAGCGTTCTCTAGCTGGGAGTCTGCAGGGCATCAGGTGCTGCACTCCCAGCAGGCCTTACCTACAGAATAGCAATCCCCGTGTCGTGTCATGCAGCTCTTAGGTCGCAGGTGTTTTCCACGGAGGAAACCTAACCTGTCAACCATAAGGCTTCATGATGCGGCGCCCTCCTTTGTGTGAACCATGGCGAGCCCGCAAGGAACCCCCATCCCGGTTTGGTATCACGATCGTGGCATAAGACAAGAGGCCACAAAAGCTTGATACTTCAAGAGGACCCCGAAACAATCACTCCAAGGGTGTCCAGCCGCGTGGCCCGTGCCCAATTGTTTCGGGCTTTGCTAGAGGCGCTTGCGAAAGAGATCTGGCTGCATGACTTGAAGAGTTTCCGCCGAGTAAGCGTCAAATGTCGCGGACGGAAAGCTTGCATGTGAGGTTGCATAGGCAGTTGGGAAAGCTCGGTTTGGGACGCACAACCCACACATTAGACGTCAACCCTCTTTTTCGAGTCGAGAACGGGGTTGGGAATCCAGGGTCCGGAACGCTAAAGAACAACTACTCATTTATGCGATAGTGCTGTAGTAAGTACACTTCTTGCTACTGCGAACCATGCGGCTGAAGTATAGACACGCAGTACATACACGCAACTTATCTCTTGCCATGGATGCATTTTGTGCTTCCACAAGCCCGTCCGCATCCCGTGCGGATTCACGCCCCTGTCGATGATAAGAGGAAGACATCGAGGGCTGAATTTCTTGGATGGGATCGGTTTGCATATAGACATGCATGCAAGAAAGAGGAAAGCTGATTCCTTCAGCCGGGCTCTCAAAAAGCCTGTTCTCGAGTACCAACAGACCTCCCAAATTACCACCCTTAAGAACTTTGAGGACTTTGGTGCATCGCCGCACATCCTATGATTCGAGAGCGCCGTGCAACAGCGCAACATGGTCCTAATGACGAGAATATAGAGCCATTCTCGCCTTTCGCTGTCTTCCGAACAGGTTTGGCCACGTTGCCTCGCTCTGCTTGCATGGTCATCGAGCTGGAACCATCAGGGAGCAGCTTGGAAAAACCCGCTGCAAACCTTGATCGAGTATCTGCGAATCTACACGTGAAGCTCATTTGCTATAAATGCTTCCTGTCGCATTTAAACTACGAAGGTTTTGTGTTCAAGCGACGAAACATGCAGCCACTTGTTCCAGCATGTCCCTTTCTCAAAACGTTTTCTCAAGAATCCTTGAGACCCAGCCCGGCCCAGCCCCAAGCCCGAAAAGCTCTTGTGATCCCTTACTCTGAGCAACTCTGAGCAACGCAAGTGTAAGTCACATGGGAAAAGTTGTCACTTTTGCAAATTTGGATTCAGAGACCTTGCGGTCCGTTCCGCGTCGCCGGCATTGATGGCCGCCAGCAGCAGGCTGCGGAAGGCGGCGCCGCGGAAGCGCAGAGGCGACGCGGCCGCAGCGAACATGGCACCTTAAAAGCAGCACGAAGATGCACGAAGAGCATCGAAGGGCTCTAGCTTAGTCACTAGATCTTCTGCAAGAATGGTCTCCGTGAGAACTCTCCCTCCATTTCCCTCCCTTCGCAAAATCTCAGACTCTGCCTTCGGTGGGGCTGAGCAGCGACGAGGGCGCGAAACTCTGCAGTCGGCGCTCTGCAGGGACCACCGAGCCACGCTCAGCTAGGACCAACAGCTCCCGGCAGAGTGCGGCATGGCTATCGTCCTCAGCTTCAGCAATGACGCCGACTGCAGAAGAACGGCTGTCCCAGCCCTGTCCTGCGAGATGCCGCGCGTTTGGCAGCAAAGGCGTGGCCGAGCACATCTTGCACCTCAGCGAGGGAATACAGTATTCATACAGCGCAGACAGCGCATCCCGTTTACAGGAAGTTCGTATTTTGCGTGTCTTTCTGTGGCCCACCAGCCTCGATGTAAGGCAGCAGGGGCAGGTCTGCAGAGCATCCTCCATTGAGGGTAAACAGCTGCGGGTTTAGGGGTTTAAGGGTTTAGGGGTTTAGGGGTTTATTAAGGGTTTATTAGGGGTTTATTAGGGGTTTAGGGGTTTAGGGTTTAGGCTTAGGGCTTAGGGTTAATTGTTCAGTCCCATCTCATCTGAAGGCCTGACCACCCTGGCATGGGCAGACACGCAGCTGCTCCAGCGCTGTCACACCACCAGCTGTGTAATTCTATGGTTCTGTGCGACTCAATCCAATGAGGGCAGGCTTGTCATGCGGGGGTTTCCGAAAATAGGGGTACCCTATTTGGGTGCTCCAAAAAAGGATTATACTATTTTGGGGATTTTTGGGGGTATTTTAAGGGCACCCCCTATTTTTGGAAATGCCCATGTATATGTCCGCCACTGAGCGATTGAGGTGCGCAGGGCTTGAGCCAAAGCACCAGCTTCGTCACGGGCTGCAAACTAACAGCAGATGACGCAACTGGCGAGTGCCCGCTCAAAATCACCGGGAAACCTTTGCTTGAGACATGAATGCAAGAATGGCCTTTATGAAAGAAGCGAACACGGTGAACCGGAGAGCTTCTTCCATGGATACCACAGAGAAGCTGGCACTGGTTGCGGGGAACATGCGGCCGGCCATGGCAACGTACGTTTCTGGGAAACTGTTCGTTCGAGCTACCCCCGCAAAGAAGACAAAGGCGGCACTTCCAATCCTGTCAGTTGCATTTTCTAGCAGTGGAAGTGGCTTTCGCCCAGGAGGACCCCTGCTGCAGTGGCTCAAGGTTTGGTGAGGTGAAAGTAGGATGCGAATTAGCGGCTAATGGGTTCTTGCTGTGCTCTACACCGGCAGGTGAGGTGACTGAGGTGACACTGAACACCAAAAGGACTTTGCCCTACGATCGCAGGAGCAGGCCTGGGCGTGCCGTGAAAAAAAACCAGCGAGTGCCGAGGCAACAAGGGGCCAACATGTTCTGCCCCAAGTCTCATGCTCTCAAGATGCAGGGTTTCGAGAGGTCAGGAGTTGCCACATTCGAGGGAGGTTGCTGACACCGCCCACCCCCTGAAATATAGGAGGGTAGTGGCACCTGGGAGGTGGTAAGTCATCTAAGTTCTCCAGCTGTGCAGCTAGATGCCCTGTGCATTGTGTTCCCTGATGGTCTTAAAGCTCTTGAAAACCAGAGGAGAGCCTTCCTTCGCCGGGAGGCTTTCGGCCCCTACAAAGCCCTGCATCTTTGGAGCCTCTCGGGCCTTCAAGCTCTCAGTGGACCTGGCAGAGCCAGTTTGTTGTTGCACCATGTGTGACGTATCTCACTATGAGTCCCACCTCCGATGCCGTGCTCCTCCGCCTTACCGGAAGTTCGTGTTGGGGCTTGATGCTCGTGATCCATGCCTCCTCACGGCCCTTACGGTTCTCCTACCGCCCGGCTTGCTTTGCTTGGGCTTCAGGCTTCGCTGGAACGGGGACGAATATTCTACGCTCAAGACCTCCAAAACGAAACTCGGCGAAGGGAAGCGCTTCCGATCAAGGAAAGAGGAGGGTTTGCGAAGCTGCGTCTGCGGAGAGGGAATCGAGCGGGCCTGCGAGAGGGAAGCACAGGAGAAGCTGCTGAGATGGCACACAGGTACACCCGGCCCAGGAAGGTGGCCCAATTGTTTGGGTAGGGCAAGTCTATGCAAATCCCCAGCGAATGCCGTGGGACCACATAGTTGGCCCTGGGGTGCTTTGCAGACAACCGCGCGACTGCAGAGCCGCGGCCCTCTCGGATGGGCTGGTGCCTGTTCGAGCGGAGTTTGTGGAGAGGAGGGGCGGCAAGTTCCCTGAAGAAGCTAGCGCTGCCGTGGCCTCCAAGTCGTCACCGGCCATGCCACACGGCATGAAGGCACACCGTGACATGCAGTGGGACACAGTTAGCATGGAGCCTGTGTCAGCCATCCACTACTTCTGAGTCAACTTCTGAGGCGGCACAGAACCCCACCTAGCCCCTGCTTCTGACGGCGGTGCGTCAGAACCCCACCTAGTTCCTGCTTTTGAGGGCAGCGCGAGAACGTGCCTTCAAGCAAAACGGGCCCTCGGCCACGGGGCTGCGATGCAGGGCTGCAGGCACTACACGAGTACACCCTCAGTTTGTCAGGGGGGGTTGGGGCCCCATTATAGACCCCCAACTGTGGCTTTTCCTGGGAGCTGGGTATAATTTGAAAAACCCAATTCAGACCCCTTGTTGGTTATGGACTTGTCGGTGTTAGCTATGGTTTGGTTCTCTAGACCGCAGCGAAAAGGTCGTGAGACCCTTCAGTGGGTTGATGTGAAATGGGTAAGCTGGGAAAGGTCTAAAATGGTCCTATCCCCATTGCAGACCTCCGATTTCCTGACCCTCAAGGGTCACCATTCCAGACCCCCACAAGCTGAGGGGATACACGAATATTGTACGAAGAATTGCTGGGGCGATGGCCTTTGGCGAACCGAGTCGAAGGTCATTTTGCTGTTCTGTTGCTTTGGTGTCTCCATCTGTTTTGCCCTGAGACAGGCTTGACAGACCCAAGCGGAGGCCGGCGCTGACCCAAGCGGAGGCCGCAGGCAGGGTGGGAGGCAAGCATGACTGGCAAGAATGACTGATCCACTGCAGCACGCCGACGAAGACAAAGCTGAAGTCGCGGAAGGAAGGCTAAGCCAGGCCAGCCCACCGGGACAGAGGAGGAGGTGTCGGGCCGGCTGACTCTTCACCGGAATGATGGCGACGTGGCAGTGGCGAAGACGGAGAGCCTGGAGCGAGCGGACAAGTGCCTGCGCGTGGAGGTTGTCAACCCCGGGCGTCCTGAGCGAGTACCGCAGCACTTGGAGACATCCAGTAAAGAACATGCCCCCCAGACCTCATAGGAGGTCGTGCGAAAGTGATCCTGTGCTCGCATGACATCTTCAAAGCCAGCCGAGCGGTCGGAGAGCCGCAAGGACGTTCCGTAAGGCGGAGGAGCGCTTATGATGCCCGAGTCTGCCGTGAGGCTAAAAACGCTGGGCTCTGTGATGGCCACAAGCCTCCCGGCGAAGGAAGGCCCTTCTCGCGTGCTTAAGGGGTTTCAAATATTTAAATTTTAAATATTAAAAGGCGGTTAGATTTGAGGCTTTAGCGTGTAGGATTTAGGTTGGGGATGGTTGGGGTGTTTAGAGTTTAGGCCCCCATCCGGAGGACTACATCTTTGCACGGGACATCCTTAAACACGCGGCAAATGCGTTGACTGCTGGCACAGCATGCAAGGACGGCAGGATGAATGTGCTTAGGATTCGAACTCTGTGGCCTAGGGTTGCCTTCTACATGTCACAGGCCCAGCGAGAAGTCCTCGCTCTCTCTCCCTTTTCTTTTTCTGAACACCTCTGATCGTTTGATTCTGTGCGCATGGAAGAAGGGCTGCTTGCGCGCGAGGAAAGGCTTCTTAGGAAGGGAAGATCCGAAAGCGATTCCGCATCAGCACGAGACAAGAGGCACAGCTGGTACTCAAAAAGCCTTTGCCACTCGTTCATTGAATCCTGACTCAAGCAACGAAAAACGGCCTTGACTTGGGGCACGTGTGCCACGACCATGGCCACAAGACACTTGCTCAAAGGCTTGGCTGGGAGGACTATACATGTGCAACCTCCAAGCTTGTTTAGATTCTTCGGTGTGTGTCCCCCCCCGCTGTCAAGGTCAACAAGGTCTGGGCGCGGGACCTTGCGGGCCTCCCCCAAACAACTGTAGGGTCTGGGTCGTCGTAGTCGTAGTAGTGGTACTGGCAATACTAGTAGCTCTAGTGTACGCCATGCGGTCCAGCAGGTAATCCTTGGACAACCTCGCTGGCCGGCTTGGGTGAAAGCGGCCCTTTCTTGAACGAGGACGATTTTGCCGGTCCTGCCTTTCGACGGATGATTTGCGAAAATACATGTTTGAAGCTCTTATCTGCCTGTGAACGATCAAGCACATGAGGTCAGCCCTTGCTTCTAGACTGCCCTGCACACGTTTCGCATATCCATTTTGCTCGGCAAAGTCGCACCTGGAAGGGTTTTGAGGAAGCTTCAGGAACTTCAGGAACTTCAGGGTTCAGACCCTTTTGGCATGAGCACGAGGAATCACAGCTGGGGGCAGGCGTGGCTGTTGACTCTGCAACGTGTGGTGTCAAGCATGTTGAACATTCTGGCAGATGCCGCAAGTAGCAACAGTACAGCTACGTCCCTCGTCCAGCTTCTGAGGGAGGCGCGAGGACAAAACAGCACAAGGAAAGTGCAGCACGTCCGGACATGCTCATAGGCATCCTGCCTCTGCTCTGCTCCCTACATTGAGGGCGAGTGGCACTGCAGGGCCCGAGTACAGCCACAGAAGCCCGATGACTTGCACACGGATATGGCACATCAAAAATGTTCGTGAACACGACGGAGGACGGTGTATCCGGATGGGCGCGGGACCTTGCGGGCCTCCCCCAAACAACTGTAGGGTCTGGGTCGTCGTAGTCGTAGTAGTGGTACTGGCAATACTAGTAGCTCTAGTGTACGCCATGCGGTCCAGCAGGTAATCCTTGGACAACCTCGCTGGCCGGCTTGGGTGAAAGCGGCCCTTTCTTGAACGAGGACGATTTTGCCGGTCCTGCCTTTCGACGGATGATTTGCGAAAATACATGTTTGAAGCTCTTATCTGCCTGTGAACGATCAAGCACATGAGGTCAGCCCTTGCTTCTAGACTGCCCTGCACACGTTTCGCATATCCATTTTGCTCGGCAAAGTCGCACCTGGAAGGGTTTTGAGGAAGCTTCAGGAACTTCAGGAACTTCAGGGTTCAGACCCTTTTGGCATGAACACGAGGAATCACAGCTGGGGGCAGGCGTGGCTGTTGACTCTGCAACGTGTGGTGTCAAGCATGTTGAACATTCTGGCAGATGCCGCAAGTAGCAACAGTACAGCTACGTCCCTCGTCCAGCTTCTGAGGGAGGCGCGAGGACACAACAGCACAAGGAAAGTGCAGCACGTCCGGACATGCTCATAGGC